TCAATAAAAGTTTCAGGAAGAGGTTAAAAAATGCAAGTGAAAAAGATCCAATAGAACTACACTAACCTGTAAGAAGGCAGGCTGCTGCTATACTGCTGCCCAGCTTCCTAGATGGTGGCATCTTACTGTCTGTTCTTTATTCTTCCCCATCAAGGTGTAAAACCAGTAGAAATCCCACAAATCTCTTAAGTAGAGCCTAGGTTTCTTTGAAATAATAGCAGGTGATTCAAATCTTCAGAGCCATTATCACCTAGTGTCTGGCTCATAGTTTTCTAGAAACATGATCTAGTAAATAAACCAGAAAGCAGTTCTATATTTTCCAAAAATTCAAAGTCACCCTTAGTGGCTTCTGGGTCCAAGAGGTGGTGTTCTAGATCATTGTTTCTCAACAATGCGTCCAATGGAACATTTGGACCAAACCCTCTGTCTTGCCAATGGGTTTCAGCCCCGGGCAAGTTTGCTATGGAGTCAATGTGACCAAAGAAACTGACAGCAAAACGTTCTTTGGGGTGAAAGGGTTTATTACCTGGCTTGTTCTCCCAGTGGTAGGTCAAGCACTAGCGTCTCTGCCTCTGGGCGGAGCTCTCTATATAGCACACTAGCTTATTACCTAAAGGTGTGGCAGTGGTAGCCTAGCAACAGGCCAGTTCCATCATCAGGTGTAAGTTCAGTGAGGATCCTGGCCATAGGAACCCCAACTTCTCCCCATTCCACCCCTCCAGGATTCTTGCCTTACAATCTACACGCTTTCAATCTTCTGCAATGGTCCCTGTGCGAGAAAGCTGGAGCACTATAACCAGATTCCACAATAGCAACAGAGGATAACAACAATTTAGAGATAATAAAAATTAAGATACAGCAATATTTTGATACAGGTAACAAAAATTATAATAATATATAATCCTCAAGCCAGAGGAAGTTCCCAATCCACAAAGACCTTAGCGACGATAAGACACATGTTTTAATGACACCAACATAGGCATATCTTGTACATCAGGTAGGATGCATGAAGACAGTGGTCCTGTGATAGGAATGTAGCAGGAAGGGGGTCCCTTCCAGGTCTAGTATACTATACTTTTACCCCTTTCTCCATGGGGGTTACTGAAGGGTCTAAATATAGTGCTACTACTAGAGGTGCATGCACTGGCCATAATGATAAAATAAAACTCCCTGGTAAGATACTCCTACCTTCTGGCCGTTCAGGATATACTACTGTGACCTTTGGTGGCCACTCTGCTGTCCAGGAATACACAGGAGGCCAGCTTCCAGGCCTTGTCCCCAAGGTGTCAGGAGAGCCAGCCATTGTTGGTCCATGTGTCAAAAGGTCCAAGGCCATGTCCACTCAATGGAGTCTCTGGGGTTCAGTGCAGTTGGTGCTGGCAGCAAGATGTTATTCTGGTGGCCGAACCTTGGCTTCAGTGATTCTTCCTTGGTTTGTACTTGCAGTTGTATAGGGGAGGCAGCAGTATGTGTTAACATGTCTACAGGGCTCAGGGCTCCCTTTCGGGGTCTCTCATTCAAACTCCGTAGCACGGTTCATAAGCAGACTGACCATCCCCGCAGACTATTGGTATCTGAATTTAGTCTGGATTTCAATAAGCCATTGTGCCTCTCTATCATGCCTGCTGTGGTAGGATTGTATGGCACATGAAACTTCCACTTGATTCCCATAGGGATATGGATGTGGTCGGCCATAAGCAGCAAAGAGATGCTCCAGGCCTCTTTTGGTCATCTGCTGGTCTGCACAACGGGTAGGAAAAGCAACCAGAAGTCCAGTAGCTGTGTCCACACAAGTCATCGCATACCGATATCCTTCTGACACAGGTAGAGGCCCAATATAGTCTATCTGCCACCTGACGAGGGATATAGGCCCCTTAGCTATTGTCCCATGCTGCTGTGGAACTCGGTGTAAGTCCCTTTTGGAGCACACGACACACTCCTGCCAGGCTCTACTAACTTCTTTGAAGGTCAAAGGCAAATCCCACCGCTGATGGGCTACAGCCCACATTGTCTTTTGCCCTGCATGCAACAAACACTGATGTAGCCATTGGGCTACATGGGAGGCAGGCTTTCCTTCTAACCAATGTATCTGGGCCAGTTTATCTGCTTCATCATTTCCTGGGGATGCCAGTGACAAATGACCTGTCATATGGTATACTGTAATTATTTTAGTCTGACCACAGACCCATAAGTCTTGCCACAGTTCTTGGCCCCAAAGGGGTCGGTGACCAACCAGCCAGTTAGCATGGTGCCATGTTGGTAGCCACAGAGTCAAGCCCTGATAGACAGCCCAGCTGTCAGAGCAGACAACTATAGGGGAGGGCTCCTGTTTGATCGCACGCCACACAGCCAGCAACTCTGCCCATTGGCTGCTCTTCCTCTCACCATCTTCCATCCATATTGTCTGTCTTAGGATGGAAAGGTATGGCCCTCCATTTTGGGGGCCTCCCATGGCTGGAGCCATCTATGTACTATGATCTGATCTTCAGATATAAGGGCTCTTCCTTCCTGATAAGGACTCTCTGCTACTAATGGTTCAAAAGCAAGTTCTTCCTGCTTTTCACTAATATATGTCAGCGGCCACAACAAGTGTTGAAGTTCAACATATGTCTGCCATCTAACAGGAGAGGATGTTAGATCACCCGGATTGGGCCACACAGCACGAAGTGCAGCCAAAGCCAATCAAGGAAGGAGTGACTCCCTGGGGTCTGATGTGCATTTTGTAATTGTTGCCTCAAGGCAGGCAGCACTGTCAGGGAAGACAGCTTTCCCATCTCTGATCCAGACAGAACAATTCCATCCACCCCTAAGTCCCACAGACACAGGAGCCAAGCTGATATTGACTCCGAGGGTTTCTGCCTAAACCAGGAGCCCAAATCTATCAGCTCAGCATGAGTATAGGGGCGGAGCATAGAGTGCTCCACGACCTGGGGAGGGGGCTGCTCCTCTCTTTGGGGAACTTTCAGCTGCTGGGTCTTTATTTTCTTTACAACCACTTGGTATGCTTTCAATACAGGAGGCACCAGTGCCTCCGGCATCACCCCTTCACCCTTCCCCAGCTCCTCCATTTCTGGGGCTGATGGCACCTTTCTCTCCCCTCCCCCGAGTGCCTCCTCCACTACAACCTTTACCTTTTCTACTGTGCCTCACAGCAGTGCTAGCTCAGTCTCTTACCTTCACCTCAATGCTTTGCAGCTGAAGTCGTGCCACCTCCGCCTGTGCTTCCCTCAGGAGTTCATCTTTTTCCTTGATGGCTTGTTCCTCCTTCAGAACACCTGGCAGCGCTGCTGTCTCATCTCCAATGGCACCTTGCTGCTGGCGCTTTCATGCTGCCTCCTCTCATATCAATGCCATCTCCTTCCTCAGGGAATCCACAGAGGTTTGCAGCTCACGTTCTTGTGCCACCTCCTCTTGCATCAATACCATCTCCGTCCTCAGGGAATCCACAGAAGTTTGCAGCTAGCATTCTCGTGCCCCCATTTCTTGGGTCTCCTCTGTAGACCTTTTTAAGACTGTGAGAAGCAGCCAACCCACAGTTTCCCCTGCCTCACGGGCACTCTGCTTCTCAAAGGATTTGCTTACTATACCAAGGGCCACCCCTACTGACTGAGGTGTCACCTCCACTTGCCTCCAGTCCTGGGGTGGGGCCCAGTCCTCTAGGAGGCAAGCCACCTCAGACCACATACCCACTGGGGGATGATCCACTGTTTCCCCATTCACAGGGGCAGCCCACTGAAGCACTCCTCCCATAAGGGCAGCCTGTTGTTTTCCTTGGTCAATAATGAACCCTGCTGACTTGCACCAATTGTCTTGCCAATGGGTTTCAGCCCTGGGCAAGTTCGCTATGGATTCAGTGTGACCAAAGAAATAGATAGCACGGGGTTTATTACCTGGTTTGTTCTCCCAGCGGAAGGTCGAGCACCAGCGTCTCTACCTCCACCCAGGGCACTGGGACAAGCTCTCTATATAGCACAATAGCTTATTGCCTGAAGGTGTGGCAGTGGTAGCCTAGCAACAGGCCAGTTCCATCATCAGGTGGTTTAAGTTCAGTGAGGATCCTGGCCATAGGAACCCCAACTTCCTCACACCCTCCCAGGGTACTTATAAATGCAGACTTCTAGGCCCAACTGCAGACCTACCAATCCTGAATCTCAGGGGATAAAGTTGGTCTGTTTCATAAGCACCTTTGAGAACCATTGTCCTGGAGCAGTGGCTCTTAAACTTGAGAGTTCATTGGAATCACCTGGAGGGCTTGTTAAACCAGTGCTGAACCTACCGCGGAGTTCTGGATTCAGTAGGTCTGGGTGGGACCTGAGAATCTACATTCTGACAGTTTCCAGGTGATGCTGATGTGACCACACTTTGAGAATTGCTATACTAGAGCATTGTGAGGGATATAAAGAAATATTAAATACAATTTCTACAATTAAGGAGCTTAGGCTGGGGGAGATAAGACATATACTTTAAAATATTACAAGGAATACAATGCTATATACAATATTTGACATTGGATGAGCTAATTAGGAGGAGTTACGATTTAATCTGGGCCCTAAAAGATGGGTGGGCCTAAGGTTCAGGAGAAGATAGCCTAGGCATTGTTGATGGGGATATAAAAGAGGGAAAGTATAGAGGTGTGTGGGACTAGGGAAAGTATAGAGGTGTGTGGGACTGGGGTGGTCGATCTTTGTCTGATACGGAGTTTTATATAGGATACTAGTGGAGGGGTAAGGCCAAAAAGATTGGTGCCAGACTGAACAGCTTTGAAAGCCTATCCGTCTCCCCCACCTCCACCCACTTCACAGTCTTACCAAAAATGCTGCACAGCTAGAATGAGGAAGTCTCCACTGCTGAGTGTGCAAGAGGAAGCACAAGAAGACACTGAGGGCCTGTGAGCTGTAATGACTGCTTTCACCCATGAGCCAATTGTAGAGGCAACAGGAAGACCAGCGCACCAACCAGGCTGGGTCCCTCCGCCCAGAGGGTGTCACCACCCAAGCTGAAAGTGTTTGCGGAGATCAGGCACTGCTGTTTGGATGCTCTGCTCTCTTGGTGGCCATCATGTCTTTGACCTCTGCTTACCAGCACAAATTAGCAGAGAAGCTCACTATCCTGAATGATCGAGGTCAGGGGGTTCTCATCCGAATGTATAACATCAAGAAGGTAAGCATAAATACCTGGACTAGTATGAATTATTCCAGCAATAGTAGGGCAGGTCCAGTAGTTAGGCTCCCTCCTCTTTCCTACTGGTTTAATTGGCCTTCAGTCACTTGAACTGTATAGGCCAGCCAGTGCTGGCAGGCAGAGGGAGGCTTTTTTTTAGGGCTTCCCATTTCTCAAAATGATTCTTGTTTCTGAGAGTGTCTGCTTTCTGCTGGTATGGGGGTAGGGGTGGGGTGGTAAATAATTGTCTAGGGTCTAGAATTCTGGGTTTTACTGTTTTTTGCTGATCTGAAGATATCCAAAGTTGGAAAAAGACTTTTCCATGGAAGTACTTACCTAGAAGGAAGAAAGATTATATTTAGATTAAAGCAAAGGGTAGGTGCCTTATGAGGTACTTAGAGCCCGAGACAGTTCATGCTGTGGTTTTGTATGCAGCTGTTTAGGAGAGGTACTCTGGAGCTGGGGGAGACTGGTGGCAGGAGCCAGGCTAGGCCCTGGGCCTAGGGAAATAGAGATAATGATTGGTAGGAGTGGGGAGTTTCTGGGAGAAAATAGGGGACTTTGGAGAGGGCACATATTTGCATTTTGTTGCAAAACAAATCACCAGGAACAAGGTTTCTCTATCCCTGTGTCTCCTATAAATGCCCTTCGGGATGAGATACTTATATAATGGATGTAATTGTGACACTGAGTTTTCTACAGAATCTAACTCCTGAGCAGCTCCTTCTCTCACTACTTCCGGCTTCAAATGAGAGGTGTGGAGAGTTTCCTCTTTGTGCTGGGGCCAAGCAGACATTAAACTTTTCTTGGCAAGACAAGATGCAGGTTGTTTAGCTCTACTGATGGTTTTCTTAATGTCCTGTAACTTGTTCTGGACCTGCTCTTAGGCTCTTATAATTAATTCCCAGATACTCTCCCCCTAAGAGATTGTGTGAGAATGAATGCTGCAGGAAGAGATATGTTTGAGGGGCAGGGAAAAGGGTTGAAATATTGTGTGCTTTATTTGTTCAGACTTGTTCAGACCCCAAGTCCAAGCCACCTTTCTTACTGGAAAAGTCCATAGAATCATCTCTCAAGTATATCAACAAGAAATTTCCCAGTATAGATGTCCGAAACAGCACGGTGAGAATGCAGTTCGTCTTCTCTCCTTTCTCTAAAATATCTCTGTACTTGGACTGCTCAGACTCTTTTCTTTTGACTGCTTCTCTTTGAACTTGATGGGGGCTGGAGTAGTCTTCTAGTTTTCCTGGTTTCAACCACAGGGCTTCAGGTTGTTGTAGTCTTGAGAATTCTGAGATAAGTTGGGATTCTCCCAGGATAAGCTTGAGCAAAGCATTGTGCCTTTCTCCACTACAAGATTCAGGAGAACACTTTGTTCTCGTACAGACGACTGCTCTATTAACCAAGCAGGGTATATATATTTTATTGTTGTTTCTGTTTCCCACTTTGTGTTTCCTTGCATCCAGTGCATAATTCTCCCTTATTAAATGTTAGCTCTAGATTTCTTACTGTCTTACTTGTAGCATCTTCTCATTCTGCTTCCTTTGACTTTGATAAAAAAGCAGACTTCTTTGGCTAAGAGGGGCCTTGGAATTTCCTCTCACTTAGTACTCTATATCTAGTCAGGATCACATGCAACCATCCTACCCAGAGAATCTCTTCTGTTTAAAGACCTTTACAATGTGGGAGATTTTCCAGCTTTCTTTGAAAGTATATTTCAATCTTCTTTAAGAATGTTTTGGGTATAAATTGTCTTATTTCATGTTTTAAAATTTTTGTTTTTCTCTCAGCAACATTTAGGACCAGTACATAGGGAAAAAGCTGAGATAATTAGATTCCTCACCAACTACTACCAGTCATTTGTGGATGTCATGGAATTTCGGGTGAGCTATCCCTAGCACAGGTCCCTAATGCAGGCATTGTCCTTCGGAGGCTATTCCTTCTTTAGTAGATGTCCATTTATGTTGCTTACTACTCTTTCTTGAAAAAATAAGAGAGATGTACTGATATGGAATGATATCTAAGTTATATTGTTAAGTGAAAGCAAGTTGCAGAATACTGTATGTTACAAGTATATTTTTATTTTAAAAGATAAGCTTATATATACATAATGTTGGTGTGTGTGTGTGTGTGTGTGTGTGTGTGTGTGTGTGTGTATAAAGGATAAAGGATTTGGAACACTATGCATTAAATTGTTAAAAATAACTGTCTTTGAAGGTGGACTGTGATTGTCTTTATGAAATTATACATTTTTGTATTTCTTGAGTTAAGAATTTTTAAGTATTATTACCCAATATTTTATTACAAACCTACTGGAAAATCCCAAGGGTAGTACAATAAATATCATTCTGTTCTTCTTCTGGATTTCTTAGTTGCTTGTATTTTGCCACGGTTGCGTATCTTTATTTTTTCAAACCATTTTAGTTGCAGACATTACATTTCCCATCCTAAGTACTTTAGCATACTTCTGCTAAGAACAAGAACATTTTCTACATAACCTTAATTCAGTTATCATGTTCAGGAAAAGTAACACTGCTACAATGTTATTAGTTAATTTATAGCCCATATTTACATTCCTTCAGTTTGTCTCAAGGATCATACCCTGAATGTAGTTGTCATGTCTCAGTAGCCTTCAATCTAGAATAGTTTCCAGAATTTTTTTTGTGTGTGTGTCTTTTATGGCATGGACTTTTCAAAAAGCCTAGACTAGTTATTTTTCAGAATATCCATCAATTTGGATTTATCTGATTGTTAACAGTGTTTGGTAGCAATACTACATGGATGATATTTTATTTGAGTTCTAATAATGATGAGCATGTATTATTTTTGTAAATGTAAACAAACTAAAAAATTTGGTACAGTGTTTCTGAAAAGCAAATTGATAACGTGTTTCAGAAGTCTTAAAAATACAGACTTTTAAGTGAACAATTCTACTTCTAGAAAGTTGTCTTAAGGAAACAGAAACTCAGAGATATAGGTATAAGAATATATTTTGTTGTATTACTTAATGATAGTGACAACTTGATAATTGATACATCCAAAAAATAGAGGTTTGGTTAAAAGCTCAGAGTATATGTCTATAAATGAATATTCAGCTGTTAAAGATGATAATATGTATTTACATTAATTGGTATGGGAAAATGTTCACGTTTTTTAGTGTAAAAGCAAATTACAATACAGCTGAAGACATAAGATGTCCCTAAAATATGTATTTACATAGATAAATATGCATATAAAGAAGATTTGAACTCCTGATTGGTGGGATTATGAGTAGTTTTAAAAACTAATTAAAATTACCTTTGTATTTTCTGATTTTCTTGCAATGTGCATGTATGACGTGTTAAAGAAATAACACAAATTTTAGCCATATAAGCAATCCAGGTTTGTGATGGTATTATAGTATTTCTTCAGATGACACAAGTATGGACCCTCCTTCGGGTGCAGTGTCTACCCTAGGGAGTTAATCCAGATCATTCATGAGATCACACAATGAAGAGAAAAGTGGGAATATGGAAGACTATAAAGTCTGAAGGAGTGTCAGGTCAGAGGTTACTAATCTTGGAACTGAAAGTGGTGGTTAGGAAGAAGGTAGGCTCTGGTGGAGGTAATGGAAAGAATGCTGGAAACATAAAAGAGCCTTGACTCCAATCAAATTGGAATCCAAAGATTTTAGGACACCTTCTGGTTGCTACAGTGGTAAAGTTCTGAGTCCAAAACATTTGGTAGGGCTCATTTAGGGCAGGAAGGGAAATAGAGATACTGAGGTATTATACATTGTAAAGTAGGTAGGCTGTGAATCAGACAGACCTGCTTCAAATCTCAGCCTTACCACTTACAAGATATATGACTTTAAACCAGAAACTCTTTGAATTCCTGTTTCTTCATCTATAAAATGGGGAGATAAGATTTACTGCATAGGGTATTTGTCAGAATTAAATGAGATAATGCATGGAAAGCATTTAGCTCAGTGTTTAGCATATAGTAAAGTAATAGGACAACAAATGTTAATTCCATTCCCTTCTGATTCATCTCTTTAGAGTATAAGACCTGTGTAATGACAGGTGGCTAAGAGCTCACCCATATCCTTTGGGAATCGGGTTGCAGGAAGGAGTTCTAGAAAGGCTCTCCTAGCAAATGAGGCAGTGTAGGTCTAGACAGAGTCTAGAGGTTATGCAGTATAGAGGGAAGATCATGGGCTCTGAGCTCTAATTCTGATACTATCCCTTACTAGCTTTGTGATCTTGGGCAACTTAAGTACTCTCAGACTCGGTTTCCCCGTATGTTAATTTAGATACAGCCTTTTTGAGAAGATAACTTGCAAGTATTTTTTTCCCACACATTTTTAATAAATTTGACAAATGTATATACTGTGTCACAAGCACCACAAAGTATAGAAAATTTCCATCTCCAAACATTTCCAAATGTTTCCTGTGTCTTTTTTCCCCCCAGTCAATCCCTACCTCCCTAACTCCTGGTGCCAGGCGACTACTGATCTGCTTTCCAGATTATATCTTTCTTTTATAGATGTTCATATAATTAGAATCTATACAGCATGCATTCTTTTGTGTCTCACTTCTTTCACTCAGCATAATTTCAAGATGCATCTATGTTGTTTCAAGTATCTGTGATTAATTCCCTATTTTTGCTGAGTACTATTCTATTGTATGAATACAATTTGTTTATCCATTTACCTGTTAATGAACATTTTGGTTGTGTCCAGGTTTTGGCCATTATGCATAAGTTACTATAAACATTTGAGTTCAGCTCACGGTGGGAACACATTTGTTTTTTCAATTGAGTAAATAAGCTAAAAGTTGAATTGTTGAATTATATGGTATGTGTATATTTAACTTAATAAGAAACTGGCGAATTTTTTTCTAAAATCACTGTTTCATTTTCCCCTTCCATCAGTAATATATTAGTATTGCAGTTGCTCCACATTCTCATCAGCACTTGCTATTATCAGACTTCAGTTTTAGCCATTCTAGTGGGTATTCAGTGGTATCTTTAGAGGTTTTAATTTGCATTTCCCTGATGACATATTGTTGAGCTTATTTTCCTGTGCTTATTTGCCATTTGTATATTTTCATTGTAAAGTATCTGTTCAAATCTTTTGACAGCATATTTTTAAAATAAAAAAATATATATTCTTTGATCTAGCACTTTCACTTTTGTAGAAATGAAAGTACCAGTATGCAGTGGGTAGCTCAGGAATTGGGAGCAAAAGCAAATGTCCACCAGTGGGAAAAAGGTTGAATGAATTGGCCATACCTTGGGCTATTATTTGGCCACTAAAAGAAAGTGCATTAATGTTCTACCACATGAATCTGAGGACTTTCAGCGGGTAAGGTTGAATGAGAAAAGCAAAATGACAAGAAAGGTCTAATGTTATCTTGATTTTATAATACAAATAATTAAAGAAAATCTGTCCCTCTATCTCTTTCTCTCTTCCTGAGTAGGATTATATAAATAGGGAGAAAATTAAGAGGGGACAATCTAGGTTGTTAAACTGTTTTATCTGGGGGTTGGCTCAGGATGGAGGGTCAGTGCTGATGTGGGGGGGAGGCAAGTATCCATAATAAAACTGCATATTTATTTAGGTAACATTGTGTATGAAAAGAAAAAGAATCCCTATCATACTGGAATGAGTGTTAAATGAAGTATATGCAAATTACCTACTAAGTACTCAGCGTATGGTAGGTAGTCAGTAAATAGAAATACATAGAAAGTTGGGTAATATTCCCATTTGTTAATGATTAGCTTCTGACAATAGGACATGGAATCCAAGAATAGACTAACTTTGAGATTTGTCAATAAAAATGGTTATGATTTTCGGCATTTTAGAAATAGCCTAGCAGATGATCTGCATTTTGTAACCTTTTTGTGGAGTAAGGGAGCACTGGGACGATAAGGTCAGGGAGTTAATATAGAAGTGGCCTGTGCCTGTGGAAATATAGGCATTTGGCAGGGTAAGCCTGATGGGGGCCTCCTGGCAGCTTCCTGGGGAGGAGCTCCCTGTGTTTAGCAATGCTTGACTTATGTTACTCAGGACCTTTCTAGGACCCGTAAGTGAGAGAACACCTCCCTTCAAATTCTGGTAGTACATGTCATCTTCTCTTTATTCTTTATTCATTCTCATCTCCAATTCTACCCCCCAGGATCATGTATATGAACTTCTCAATACCATTGATGCCTGCCAGTGCCATTTTGATATCGTAAGATTCTTTGCAATTTTCTTCTATGCTAGAGCCACAGTGTGAGGTGGGGTGGAACTGGAGGAATGGCTACTTCTCTAGGACTGTAATATTGCTTATATAATATATATGATGAATGAATGGCTATTCATTCCAGGACTATAATTCTTTTGTAAAGAGTGCTGAAGTGAAAACGTATTTTCATGTTAAGCAGATCATCAATGTGATTTATTTAATATAAAAATGACACAAGAATGTTCTTATGCCACTTCTTCCAATCCCCATACACTACGTTATTTCCTGGCTTCCTTGTATCTTGAAATCACTTTTAGCCCTTAACTTTTGTTCCAATTTTCTCCTTCTGAAGTTTGAATCCTGTCAGTTTCTCCTACATAGAGACTTTCAGAGTCTATTTAGTAGTGTTTGGAATGGCTGGGGTAGTAGAGATTAATTGGCCTTGCTGTTCTTGAGTTCCTATGTATTTTCATTGTAGAATCTCAACTTTGACTTCACTCGGAATTATCTGGACTTGATTGTAACATACACCTCAGTTATTTTACTTCTGTCACGGATTGAGGACCGACGGATACTCATTGGCATGTACAATTGTGCCCATGAGATGCTGCATGGCCATAGGTGAGTTAGGGGTATGGAGGAGATGAAGAATCTCATATGTGGTGGTATAGGGTGAGGGGTGGACAAAAGGAAATAGATGCCATGCCTTCTCCTATGAGAATCTATGATCTACATGATGACCAAGGCAAAATAAAACAATTTAGAGTACTTACAAGGGCATACACCACCAAGGACACTTGTATATATAGTTAACTCTTAAATATCTGTTAGTGGCTTACCCAGTTTGCATTGTCTCTGATCAGTTTTTAATCCTGGGCTGGCTTCCATTCGGCTTTTTAGTTATTGAAAAAGGCAAGGAAACTTCTTTTTAGTATTGGTAGGAATAATATTAGCAAGGAAAAGCCATTAGGAATAAGTAATGTATGATAATACATTTGAAGCCAAATATAAATGGATTTTGGATTATCTGCATGTCTGTGCCCCCTCCATCAGTGCAAATAGAAGTATTTAAGGGCTGAAATAATGAAGACCAGTGGGATTAGAGTAGGCCATGGCATGCTGTTCTAATCATGATGTGTATTCCCACATGTACCTATATCAATACCTAGGCACATGTTTTGACTGTGTATATATATCCTTTTGGGTTGTATACAGATTCGAGTCCAGGCATATTACTTGATTTAGAACTAATCAACATGACTTTATAGAGTACCTAGCATGTGTCCAACCTTATTTTGGGTGCTTATAAGGAAGAAACTTTCATAGACCTGTCCCAAATTGTGTGGTTCAACTAACCATATTATACACCTGCTGCAGGGGAGGGTTATCTATATATGTAATTCACAGTTTAGTATGTATATCTCTGGAGGTGGTGGAGAAGGCCAGCCTATGCACACATTATCCTATATGCAAACATGAGAGTTTGCGACATGGTTAAGGAGGCCTGTAACTCTTCTTTCCCATGCTATCTTTCAGTGACCCAAGTTTTGCCCGTCTGGGTCAGATGGTTTTGGAATATGACCACCCTCTGAAGAAGCTGACAGAGGAGTTTGGGCCTCACACAAAGGCAAGTTCCCTGGGAGAGTGGAGAATTCCTCAGGCAGAAATAAGTTGCCCTCATCATTGACCTTAAGGATTCATTTGTTTTTCCGCACAGGCTGTGAGTGGAGCCCTCCTCTCTTTGCACTTCCTCTTTGTCCGAAGGAACCAGGGGGCCGAGCAGTGGCGCAGTGCCCAGCTTCTGAGTCTCACCAGCACCCCGCCAACCATGATTAACCCTGCTAGTTCAGACACAGTGCGTTCCCTTCCCCTCTTGTTAGTGGAGGCATTCTTTTGCCAAGGCCATCTCTGTAGAGGGTGCTTATCTCAGGAAATATCAGCCCTAAGAGGGCTTTAGTCAGTCCTCTTCTAGGATATGCCTCTAAGTTGATAAACTCTTGTAGTTAAAAAAAAAAAATCATGGTTGGGTTGGAGCTTTCAGGATTAGTGTATGCCTCCCCACAGACGGAATTTAATAAATATTCATAAAATGAATGAATGGATGTAACTGAGTCATTAGACACCTATTCAGGCAAGCAGGAAGTTAAGTACAGGTGTCAATTAACAGATGCTTTTCTTCAGCTACTCTGGGCCCAACCTCCTAGCTTCAAAGAATTTATAGTCTAGTAGTGAAGATGTGCCACACAGTCATAAAAATACAAGTGATGGTACAAGATGAATGAGAAGCACCAAATGAGAGATTTATACTTTAAGTGGTAAAAGAATTCAAAGAATCGTGAGAGCATTCAAGTCTTGCTTTCCTGTTATTGAAAGTATCTCAACTGTTGAAGAGAAGTTACATTAAGCTTTTTGTTTGTCCTCTCAGATCAAGCTCCTTTTCCTTTTCTCAACTGTATTCTTCTTTCCTCACTCTACTTACAGTGCCTCATCTCAGGTACTGGCAGGTTTCCCAGCTATTTGTTTATCAGAGTGCCCCAATCCAGTCAGGCAAAACAAAAGCTGGTATGATTCTCAAATTCTAGCTTGACTTCCCTTGTCTTGGACTTGGGGGAAACCAACTTAAACAACTGCTCATTCATCTCTGCCTCTCTTCTCACAGATGGCCTGTGAGTACCTGTCTGTGGAAGTGATGGAGCGTTGGATTATCAGTAAGCTTTGTGGGATTAGGTGGGGATAGCTAAAGCAGCATGTTACACGGGCAGCAAATTCTAAAAGTCCTTTTATGCTCTGTTTTACCCACCTACAGTTGGGTTTCTTCTTTGTCATGGGTGCCTCAACTCCAACAGCCAGTGCCAGAAGCTGTGGAAGCTGTGTCTGCAGGGCTCCCTGTACATCACTCTCATTCGGGAGGATGTGCTACAGGTGCACAAGGTCACTGAGGACCTGTTTAGCAGTCTGAAAGGGTAAGACGTGGGAGCCAAACCATTCTTTTTTTGGGATTTTTTAGTCACTCTTGACATCGTTTTTCAGTCTCCATGAGTGTCCCAAATATGGGTGGTAAGGATTAATTCTAATTATTAAAGAAATATTTACCAAACACCTATTATTTACTAGGTACTTCACTGGGTTTTAGGTCTACATTAATTAATAAGATAGCAGAGAAGTTAAGAGCATGGAATCTGAAACTAGATTACTTGGGCTCTACCACTTATGGGCTATGTGATCTTGGGCAAGTTACTTAACACAAGGATATGTGGCAATTTCTTCATCTATAAAATGTGGATAATAATAGTACTTCCTTCCCTATGACCTACTTCATAGGGTTGTTATGAAAAATGAAAGAATTACTATTTATAAAGCCATAGGGAAGTGCCTAGTACATTGTAAGTGCTATATGGGTATGTTTTTTAAATAAAAAAGATAAGAGTATTCTCAAGAATCTTAAAAATTGGTGAAAAATAGACACACAACTGTTGTGGTGCAGTAAAGGATTCTGATGTATAAGCTCAAAGTGCTATGGGAGCATTAGGAGGAAGGACTCTTAAACTAAGTGGTGTTGGAGGATCCAGAAGAATGAGACAGATCTGAAGAGTTAAAGCTGGCTCTAGAGGAAGAGGGAGGGTGTGTGTGCAAGGGTGCCAATGCAGGGGAATTGTGTAAGGCAGAGAAAGATATTCTAGGCAGAGAAACTATCAAGATTTCTAGGCAAGAGGAAGCATGGCAAGTTCTAGGAAATTCTTGTAGGTCAGTGCACGGGCAGCTGGGTTACAAAGGTGGGGATGTTAAGAGACAGATTTGGAAAGGCTGGGACCTTGTATATTCTGCCATGGAGTTTGAACCTGTCCGGAAAAGGATAGGAAGCCATTGAGTGATTTCAGACAGGGGGTGACATGATCATATTTGCATTTTAGAAAAAAATCATTCTGGCTACAGGGAAGAAGAGATTAGATGGACAAAATTTGAGGCAGAGATTAAGTAAATTAGGAAGAATTGAGGAAGAAGTCAAGGTTTCTGGTGTGGGTGCTTAATCTTCCTTAAAATAGAGAACATGTGAATAAAAGCAGTCTTGTGGGGTAAATACTGAATTCAGTTTTGAGCAGATTGAATTTGAAGTGTCTGTAGGACACTGAAGAAAGATGTGTATTAGACCATTTCCTTTGTGGTTCTGGAATTTAGGAGCGAGATCTGGATTCAGATAAAGATTGGTGAAATGGTAATTGAAGCCATGGGAGTAGGGCAATGACTCAGGGAGAATGTGTAGAGTGAGATCGGACTGGGACAGAACTCTGGGAACATGGATATTTCAGGGTCAACACAGTCAGAGAAATCGGCGAGGGGTGCTGAGAAGAACATTCTAAGAGGGAAAAGCTGGTTATCTATGTTAGATGATGATGATAAGTGAAATAAAATGAGGGCTGAAAATATTCATTGATTTGTCTATAAAGAAGGTCTTAGTGCCCTGTGGACAGCTTCACTGAGTGGTGAGATTGAAAGCTGGGTTGTTGTGGGATTAGGAACAAATGGAAGATAAGGAATTTAATAAGTAACATAAGCAGTTTGACTGTGAAGGGAAGAATAGAGAGAGAGATAAAATGAAAAAGAGATGTGGAATTAAGGGAGGGGTCAAATACCTTTATTTTTTATAGTTGTAAAACTAACATCCAGAAATATACAAAATACAAACTGGAAGTTAACCACAGTTTCACTTCCCAAAATGGTTTGGCGTGTTGTAAATCCTGCAGATGCTCAAGTGTGTGTATAGATGTGTAAAGGTGTGCATGTATTTTCAACTTCATATATAAGCAATTTTTAAAAAGCAGTGAATCCAAACTCTACATTATGTTCGTTCTGTAGTTTGCTTTTTTCCCCAATTACTGTATTTTGGACATCTTTGCATATCAGTTTATAGAGACTTTATTCTTTTAATTAATTAATTAATTTTAAAATCAAAGTATCATTGATATACAATCTTGTGAAGGTTTCACATGAACAACCTTGTGGTTTCAACATTCACCCATATTATCAAGTCCCCCCACCACACTATTGTAATCACTGTCCATCAGCATAGTAAGATGCTATAAAGTCATTACTTGTCTTCTCCGTGCTGTACTGTCTTCCCTGTGACCTACCTATATTGTTGTTGTGGATTATAGTGCCCTTCTTCCTCCTCCCTTCTCCCAGTCCCCTTCTCCCTCCCTCCCTCCCCCTTCCCAGTGGTAACAGAGAGTCCCTTCTTGGAGTCTGTGAGTCTGTTGCTGTTTTGTTCCTTCAGCTTTGCTTTGTTGTTATATTCCATAAGTGAGTGAAATCATTTGGTACTTGTCTTTTTCTACCTGGCTTATTTCACTAGCATAATAGCCTCTAGCTCCATCTATGTTGTTGCAAATGGTAGGATTTGTTTTCTTTTTATGGCTGAATGATATTCCATTGTGTATATGTACCATATCTTCTTTATCTTCATCCATCGATGGACACTTAGGTTGCTTCCATATCTTGGCTATTGTAAATAGTGCTGCAAAAAACATAGTGGATTTACCTTATTCTTTTTAATAGTCAAATAGTATTCCATTATGTGGTTTTAACATTATTTATTTACCCAATCCCCTGTGGTAGATATTTGAACTATTTCCACTTTAAAAAATCATTGCAAACAATGCTGTAATGAATGTCCTTAAACTTATATCTTTGTGGATTTTTCTATAGATTTTCAGATGTGTTTGCTGGGGTAAAGGGTATGCATATTTCAAATTTTAATAGCTTTTACCAAATTGCCCTTCAAACAGATGCATTATCTGCAATCTATGAGAATACTTATTCTCATACTCTCAACAACCATGTATTAGTATAAAAAGTCATTCTAGAGTTAAGAGAGAGTAAATCTAAGATTAATAAGTAGAAGTTACAGGAGGTGGATTTGGATCTCTATAAAATATAGAAACACTTTCTAATTATTATTGTTTCTTAGGACTGGAAGTGATGTTTGAAGGGTGTTCAGTTCCCCATCACTAGGCACAGCTAATATGTAAGATTGGTAGTTTAGGGATTTCTTTGATATAAATGATTGAATTTGATCTTCATGTTACTTATACTCAGGTATAAGTATTAATATATATTTTTTTATAAATGAGAAAATGGAGGTTCAGTCTCAATGTCACTTAGTTAATACGAGGTGGAATTCGGAAATGACTCCAGATTTTTTGACTCTTAATCTTACTGTTTTTCATCATACCATGTAGAGGTCGAAATAGTTATCTGTGGGAAGGCTGTGGAGTTGAATCCTGATTTAATTAAGATATTTTCCAGGTCAAATTTCTTTGATTCTGTGCTAAGTTCAATAAGGGAGTGGTTTATAGAAGGGAAAAGAAAGGTTATGAAGTCCCACTAATGTGGTGGCAACAGTGATGCAGGCTAAAAGAAGACATAAGGAATGTAGAGATCACAGGACTAAGGTAATGGGCGATTTTTGAGCACAGGTCATTAGTTAATAGAAAAAAAGAGGTATGGTCAGGAGAGTCACATACTACAGACAAAGAACAATGAAAAGGCCATTTAATTGGGTGATTCAAAAGTGCACAGTGACCTTAGAGCAATTTGTTTAGTGTCAAAGGCCTTGAGGGAGTCAACGGTCAGTGAAAGGTGAGGGAGTAAAAGGAGTATAGATGTTTCTTTGGAGGATTTTGGTGGTGTGGGAGAAGGGGCAAAGTTCAGTAGATTGCCAGGGTCAAGCAAGGGTCTTTTTTGAATAAGGGAGGCATTGAGCTTATGTGTTGGGAGAAGGGAATAAACCAGTGGAGAGGGAGAGATGAAAATGACAAGAGGGTAACTGATAAAGTTAAATTCTAAGAGGAGGTGGTGAGAATGGGACTACCTTTGAGAGCAGGGCTGCTCCTTTCATCTCCCTCAAGCGGGAAGAGTACTTTGACCTTAAGATGCAAAGCAGGAGCACAGGATGAGAAGTCCAGCACCAGCTTTGCCATTAAAACCCTATGTGACCTGGGCAAATCATTTTTCCCCCCTAGATATTTTCCTCATCTGTAAAATAATGAACAAAACTGGATAATCTCTGAGTGCTGTGAGTCTTTATTAATAGGCTAGGGTGAAAAGTAGGGTTTGGAAAGATTTTGATAGGGCTGCCCATGCTCCCTCCCAGAGGCTGTACTTTGGAATCTCTGAGGACTGGGAAGGTGGGACAAGACCTCTGACTGAGTATGGCCAACCCTGGTGTGCTTGTGTCAATCCTCAGGTATGGCAAGCGAGTCGCAGACATAAAGGAAAGCAAGGAACATATGATTGCAAACAGGTAAAGGTGGGGAATGGGCTCTCCAAGAGGGGATGGAATAGGAATCTTTCCTGATCTTCGGTTTCACTCCAAGTTTCTTTTCTTTCTTTCTTTTTTTAAAATTGATATACAATTTTAGATTGGTTTCAAGACTACAACACAATGATTCAACAGTTACCCATATTATTAAATCCTCACCCCCACTAGTACAGCTACTATCTGTCAACATAGGAAGATGTTACAGAATCAGTGGCTTTATTCTCTATGCTGAACTACTATCCCTGTGACCTACCTACATTATGATTGTGCCCCTCTAACCCCCTTGCCCTCCTACCCCCCAACCCCTCCCCCATGTAACCACCAGTCCCTTCTCAGTGTCTGAGTCTACGGCTGCTTTGTTCCTTCTGTTTTGCTTTGTTTTTACATTCCACAAATAAGTGAAATCATATGGTATTTGCCTTCCTCCACCTAGCTTATTTCACTGAGCATAATACCCTCTAGTTCTATCCATGTTGCTGCAAACGGCAATATTTCTTTCTATAGCCACCCCCAGTCTCTGTCCTGCCTTACTGCCTCAACCCAGGAAGCCGCTGCTGCCCCGCAGATTCTTGTGTTTTCTTACCAAGTCTAACAGCAATATCACTGAACCTTCTTCCTGCCTGATACCCCTTCCTAAATGCAGCTCTCTTCTGTGCTGCCTTTGGAGGATTTTTAAGGGTGAGAGAAGCAATATTCTCTAGTTTCCACTTTCTTTCCTCAGTGGTCAGTTTCACTGTCAACGGCGCCAGTTTCTGCGGATGGCAGTGAAGGAGTTGGAGACCGTGTTAACTGATGAGCCAGGACTACTAGGTCCCAAGGCAAGCAGAAGAAAAGTTTGCAGCTCTGAGCCTTTTGTGTTCTATTTGCATTTGTATGTGATGATTCCTTTGAACCTTCTTGGAATACCCCAAAACTTTTTGTATCTTTTTTTGGGGGCACTATCATAGCATGTCATGCATTATAGCTATTTGTGTACTCATCTTATCTTCTATTTGAGTGTGAACTCATTGAAGATAGAGCTTATTCTTTTTTTCTTAAACCACATAAATGCCAAGTAAATATTTCTAAAATTTAATTTGATAGAGAAAAAAGGGTATTGACTGTGAGCTAATGTCAACATATTTACATGTCTGATTATGTGTCATGTTTTTTTTTGTTTATTGTACACTATTTTTGGTGCAGCTATACAATTGTATCCAAATGCATATTATCATGATAGTTTTCTCTGTGCTTTGAAATCCATTTTTAAAGTTGAAAATTATCATAGTCCCTGTCCTTTCCTTAGGCCCTTTTTGCTTTCATGGCCCTGTCCTTCATTCGTGATGAGGTCACCTGGCTGGTTCGCCACACAGAAAACGTCACCAAGACAAAGACACCTGAGGATTATGCTGACTCGTTAGTACCTGACATGGTTTGGAAAACCATATGGACCAGGGAAGGTGGCAGGGAGGCAGCAAGGGACCTCAGCGAGTCTCAGTTTCTACCCTGTCCCTGTCTTTGTCTCAGTTCATACTGCTGGTCCCATACATCTCTCTGCTCTCATCCCTGACTTTGTAGGAGCATTGCGGAACTGCTTTTCTTGTTGGAGGAGGTTAGGGCTCTGGTGCGAAGACACATCAAAGTGATACAACAATACCACCTTCAATACCTGGCCAGATTTGATGCTCTTGTGCTCAGTGACATCATTCAAGTATGTTTAATTGTTTATGTTTTGGAAATTTCAAGGTATTCCCTGACCATTTTGTCCTGGGTGTTAGCCTGGCTGAATCTTACGTTCTGTAGATTGTGAGTTACAACACCTGATTTTCCCCTCTACATTTGTCAAAAGATTAAAAAGACTAATAATCTCAGCAGTCTTTTTTTTTGCCCCCAAGTGGAGGTAAGGTATACAGAGAGGAAGAGGAAAGATAAGGAGAAATTGGTGGTAACATGGCGGGGAACCCAGGGAATTCCTCCATCTCTTGCTTGGCTCTTTCTCTCTGTTGGTGGCACTTAGCAGTTCTACCTTCATATGTTGACTGAGCCTGGTCCTCATTTCTGTCCTGGTGGATCCTGTGCCCACTTGATAGTAACTCTTGACTTCTCTTTTAGAACCTGTCTGTGTGTCCTGAAGAGGAGTCCATCATAATGTCCTCATTTGTCAGTACTCTCTCCTCTCTGAATCTCAAGCAAGGTAACTGGAGGGAAGTGGAGAGAAAAGGTATATGTGAGAGTGAACATGTTTTTTCTAGAAATATCTCTTGAGCCAAGGAATGGACAAGATGACTTTGAAGAGGACCTGCCATTATATGCATTTGAATATAGGGTGCTGTTTTATTATTTCCTTCTAAAATTCTGTTTTTCTTGCAGTTGATAATGGAGAGAAATTTGAATTCTCTGGATTGAGGCTGGACTGGTTCCGTCTCCAGGTAGGTCCATTCCTGTTGATGGTCCCCCTATTTCTCAAGGCTCTTCTTCCCTCACAGTCCCTTCTCTTTTTACCTTCTAAGCTCTGCTTTATGGAATGATTCAACACTGAAAGTTGATGATGGGGCAGGACAACCCTAACCAAACTGTAGCCTCAAGGCTGGGGGGTCCTTCTCATTTATCTTGCTTTTCTTCACCCTTTTCTCACCATCTCAACCGTAGGCATATACCAGTGTGGCTAAGGCTCCCCTGCACCTGCACGAGAACCCTGACTTAGCCAAGGTGATGAACCTCATTGTCTTTCACTCCCGAATGTTGGACTCAGTAGAGAATATGCTGGTGGAAACTTCTGACTTGTCTACTTTCTGGTACGTCCTGATTCAGAGCTCTCTGTCAATTGACTTGATCTCTTGTCTAGAGTCTATGGAGGACTGTAATTCCCCAGATAGATAGGAAAGTCTTGTTTTCTCTGAGATTTCCTTTGAGCAGATATTCAAGGTACACAGTTCACTCATTTCAGCTTCTACCAAGTGAAAGGAATTTGAAGTTGATTCCCTTTTGTTCTGGCTTTCTTTAGGAAAAGACTTTAACAGACTTCTCTTCTCTGGGATAATTCATTGACAAATATTTTTCCTTACTTATCTTTGGAAAGTTCTTTAGCTTTTTATTCTTTGGACATTGTGATTTAAAAGAGACATGGAAAATTTGAAGGTTTAGTGGAGAGACTGAAAATAATTGAGAGGAATGGAAAATAGGGCTTTTGAAGAATGAATATTAATTTGTCTTCACTTGGTATTATTCAGCACCACATTGTGCCTAACTCTATCCCTGAGGCATCAAACAAACAGCACTAAGTGTTGGCTCTGCTCTCTGGTTCAATATAGGTGGAGAGCTAGAACACCCAGGTGTGAAAAGGACATCAACATAATGATTACAAGTGTAGAAAAGTGTCAAAAGAAAGCATGGTGTTCAGAGGATATAGGGTTGAGGGAAGAGCAGTCTCATAGAATTAATCTAAGAAAGTTTTCTGTAGCCTGCCTGTCAAATTTTGAGAGGGATGTGAGTCAGTAGAACTGAAGGACTTCCACACTAGGGGGAATGGCCAAATCATGCAGAAATTCTGAGGAAGGAATAGCAAATTTTGTAAAAGGAAAGGAAGATTATCACTAAACTGCCTTGAATCAGAAAGGGTCAAGGTTTTTGGGTTCCCATCTGCCTAAAGGGTAGGGACATTAAGGAAATAGTGGTAAATATTAATAAATATTTGTTGAAAAAATGAATATTCTCTCCTTCTCAGAGGGAACAGCTCCTAAACCCTGGTTTTAAGTCTCTCTCTCCGTTTTCCTGCAGCTTTCATCTCCGTGCCTTTGAGAAGATGTTCGCCATGACCCTGGAGGAACCTACCATGTTGCGTCACGCTATTGCCTTCCCCCTGATTTGTGCTCATTTTGTCCACTGCACTCATGAAATGTGCCCAGAGGAGGTGAGTACTCTGAACTACAATCTTTCTAATCACATCTCATCCCTATTCCCCAAACACAATTTTGAAGGTTGATTTTGGTCCCAAGAAAGGCACAAACATAGGTATATGACATGAATCTCTAAAAGTCTCACTGTGACATAGGATGTGTCCTCTCTTTGGGTCTCAGTTTCTTCTTCTGTAGAAGGATTGGATAGCTCAGGGGATGAGAGCAATCTTTAAGAAGTGGCTGTCTTGGTGATAACAATTTCTTTCTTGGTTCCTCTTTCCCAAAGTACCCCCACCTGAAGAACCATGGCCTTCATCACTGCAATTCCTTCCTGGAAGAGCTGGCCAAACAGACCAGCAACTGTGTCCTGGAGATCTGTGCTGAACAGCGAAACCTGAGTGAGCAGGTGGACTCAGTGCTTGCTCTGTTTCATTGTCCCCTCTGCCACTCCTTGGTGCCTTCCTCTCTATTTACCTTTGTCTTCCTCTCAAACACCAAGTTCTCTAACTCTTTCAAGTAGGGCCAGGGCTTTTGTGTACTTGAGTTTATGGCAGGCTTCTTCCTTTAAGAGTAGTCCCTGCAGTCTTTACTTCCTTAGGACTAGATAGAGGTGTCTAAAAATACTCTTATTTGAACAGCTGCACTCCAACAATATCTGTGCTCTCATTTGAAGAGTTCCAAGAGATGAGTTCATTTTCTAATTTTCTTCCCCTCCTCCTTCTGCTATGTGTACACACAGTTAGGACAGTGGCCCTCCGATCATCTGGCTTGTCTCACCCTTCTGTCCATCTGCACTATAGTCTTTGGCCTCTGAACATTTTCAGGTGGCACCTCTGTCTGCTTGTTTTTTCCCTCCTCTCCCTTGACTGACTCACAGCACCTGGTCATGATTAGCTTAGCTAAATTTCAGAAAATTTGAAAATGAGGAACATTGTGCTGTTGCCCTGGAGTCGTTTAGGTTTCGTAGACTACCCATCCTTTCTGACTTTGAGTCAGGCTTTGTAGCAACTTTGGTAGAAGCGGGAGACAGATTTTGTGCGTGCGTGCGTGCGTGCGTGTGTGTGTGTGTGTGTGTGTGTGTACATATACATATGCACAGTTACACTATTAACATTTCCATTTTCTCATATGTAAAGTGGGGATAAAAATAGCTTCTTTACAGAGGTAACATAAAGATAAAAATGAAATAGAGTATGTTAAATATTTGTATAAAACTCTCAATAGATGTTAGCTGCCATATTATTTGGTACTTACTGGGCATTAAACCCTGTGCTGGGTTTTTGGGATGGGGTGCTAGAAGGAAGGTACATAATCCGTGTCCTAGAGAAATAATCCAGTTTAAGAGAAAAAGGAGTACAAATACATGTTTGAAAAAAATTTAAGTAACATGAGGAAGATATGCAAGCAAGTAAAGTTATGTGTATATTCATCACTCCATTTGAATACCTACTACCTGCAAGGGACACAGAGATTTGCTCAGTGCTGTATCAGTGATGATGAAAACATGATGCAAGTGATTGTTTTCACACACACTAGAACTTTTGCATTCAGATGAGTATTGGCCCCTCTAAAGATTTTGAATAAATTAGTGATGTTGCCATTACTAATGGAGTTACATTTTTTGGAACTAGTTTCAGAATCTACAACAGACACTTTTGCACAATTTCAGGGTTGATGCATCTTTGTCCATCAAAGTGGTCTTGATTATTTTGAAACAGAGTTTGGACTTCAAAAAACAAAGTATACCTTTAAAGTAGCAAAAACAGGTTTTTTTGGCTCATACCCAGCTCTAAGAGTATTTCCAAATGTGGAGTTTCCAGACATGCTCTGCACATGCTCATCAGCATTGGACTACATGGAAAGAACTCCAAGGTTATTGCCTTGAAAGAGATACCTGAATATATAATTCCACTATATAATTCCATCTTATATTTTCTTTATGGCTTACTGGGTTATTGTGGTGAAGAGAAAGGCTGCAGGATTGATGTTTAAACTAGCAAAAAATGATATCTCATTTACAAAACGAAACAAAAAAAGAAGTGGAAGGAGAGTTCTGGCCACACTTGTGAGCTGAGTCTTTGAAGGGCTGTGGTAGTGTGAGTAACTGTCTCCATGGGGACACAATATGAAGGAAGGTAGCAAGTGAGATGTGTGTGTGTGTGTGTGTGTGTGTGTGTACATATACATATGCACAGTTACACTATTAACATTTCCATTTTCTCATATGTAAAGTGGGGATAAAAATAGCTTCTTTACAGAGGTAACATAAAGATAAAAATGAAATAGAGTATGTTAAATATTTGTATAAAACTCTCAATAGATGTTAGCTGCCATATTATTTGGTACTTACTGGGCATTAAACCCTGTGCTGGGTTTTTGGGATGGGGTGCTAGAAGGAAGGTACATAATCCGTGTCCTAGAGAAATAATCCAGTTTAAGAGAAAAAGGAGTACAAATACATGTTTGAAAAAAATTTAAGTAACATGAGGAAGATATGCAAGCAAGTAAAGTTATGTGTATATTCATCACTCCATTTGAATACCTACTACCTGCAAGGGACACAGAGATTTGCTCAGTGCTGTATCAGTGATGATGAAAACATGATGCAAGTGATTGTTTTCACACACACTAGAACTTTTGCATTCAGATGAGTATTGGCCCCTCTAAAGATTTTGAATAAATTAGTGATGTTGCCATTACTAATGGAGTTACATTTTTTGGAACTAGTTTCAGAATCTACAACAGACACTTTTGCACAATTTCAGGGTTGATGCATCTTTGTCCATCAAAGTGGTCTTGATTATTTTGAAACAGAGTTTGGACTTCAAAAAACAAAGTATACCTTTAAAGTAGCAAAAACAGGTTTTTTTGGCTCATACCCAGCTCTAAGAGTATTTCCAAATGTGGAGTTTCCAGACATGCTCTGCACATGCTCATCAGCATTGGACTACATGGAAAGAACTCCAAGGTTATTGCCTTGAAAGAGATACCTGAATATATAATTCCACTATATAATTCCATCTTATATTTTCTTTATGGCTTACTGGGTTATTGTGGTGAAGAGAAAGGCTGCAGGATTGATGTTTAAACTAGCAAAAAATGATATCTCATTTACAAAACGAAACAAAAAAAGAAGTGGAAGGAGAGTTCTGGCCACACTTGTGAGCTGAGTCTTTGAAGGGCTGTGGTAGTGTGAGTAACTGTCTCCATGGGGACACAATATGAAGGAAGGTAGCAAGTGAGATGGCTGTTCCATACTGGCAAAAAACAACCAACTGTCTTCCCAGGTTGGGAAACCCTAGAAAGTACAATTGAGGGGGCTCTTAGATCTCAGTCTTTTTACTTGAATTTTTCCATTAGGAAAGACTCTCAGGGTGTGGGTGAGAGATTGATGATCTGAACCCTAAAAGACACAGCCGTCTTCAGACTTTGAGTCTAAACGTGGGAGATAATTTGATGAAAAGTAAGAGGTAAGCATATTCCAAACAGGCACCCATTAGAAAAAGAGATGCTGCAAGGAAGGAGAGAGAGGCAGAAAGATAAAAGGACAGACATTAATGGAGAGGATTTTTCATATTGTTAGAGGGGCTAGTGGGCAGTCTAAGGAATGTATCTCATTTCTCCATTCTCTTATGTTTGTTTCTAAAGCTTCTACCTAAGCACTGTGCCACTACCATCAGCAAAGCAAAGAATAAGAAAACCATGAAGCAGAGGCAGACTCCCCGAAAAGGAGAGCCTGAGAGGGACAAGCCAGGAGCTGAGAGTCACCGGAAGAACCGCAGCATTGTCACCAAGTGAGGACCTGGACCCTGGAGGGCCATCTGGGCACGACATCAAAGAAGGGAGAAGAGGGAAGAGGGAAGGTGCTCAGCAAAGGAATGAGGCAGTGGTGGTGGGGATGACAGATACAGAAGTATGCATAAATGTGAATTTTCTGCTTTGCCTTTGAAGTCAGCATCTATGTGTACTGCTCTAGGCTGAGTATTCCTAGAATATGAAAGGGGTCTGAAGGTCATGGACCTCACAAATCCCTCCCAGATGCTAGCAGGCAGTGCCAGACCTGTAATCCACGCTCATTTCACTGTCTCAATTTCTCCCAGCATGGACAAGCTACACCTAATCTTGACAGAATTGGCCCTGACAATGAATCATGTATACAGCTTCTCTGTGTTTGAACACATTATCTTCCCTTCTGAGTATCTCAGCAGCCATCTGGAGACCAGACTCAACAGGTACCATTCTTCCTTTCCCTTCCATGTATGTGTACTGTGGTAGTTCTCAAGCTGGTTCTGTCAGATTCCTCTTGGTGGTCATTCCAATGCACTCAGTCTGGCATATGCCCAGTCTCTATTAAAAGCAACCAAACAAAAAGAACCCCAGACCTCTACAGGGGGTTTTGATGAGCAACCAGAATTGATCACCACTGGTTTCGCAGAGGGAGTGAGGTGTTTGCAGTCAGCAGACCTGCATTGACATCCTGGTCATTAGCGAAGATATTGGAGCAGTTTAACTTGTTTGAACCTTAGTTTCCTACCCTGAAAAGTAAGGATAATGGTATTTACTCTATAATGAGAATTACCTGTAATGGGGAATTGGTAGAGAATCGAAGATAATAATGAGAGCAAAGCTTCTGACATATATAGGCCTCAACAAGATAGATCCCCTTCCCTCCACTTTGTTCTTCATTCCATTGCCCCCTAAAGGAGGAGGAGCATTCCTTCTATTGGAATTGGGCACTGAAGTCAGCAATTAGGGGAATGAAGAGAAGAATTATAATAAATAACCCCTTAGTCCTCTGTTTTGTTTTGGAATATGTAGTATATTCACAAATATTTATTGAACATCTACCATGTGTCAGCAGTGCTCTAGAAGCAGTTGATACAGCAGAATACGAAACAGATACAAATCCGTGTCCTCATAAAGCTTACCTTCTAGTGGGGGAGATCGACAACAAAATAAGAAAGTAGCATATGTAGTAGATTAGATAGTGACAAGTGTTAAGCAGAAAAATAAATCAGGAAAAGGATATAGTAAGGTGTGTGTGCTGTAGTTGGTGGATGGCCAGGGAAGGCCTGCTTGAGAAAATGACATTTGAGTAAACTGAACGAATTAGGGAAGCCGAGTGTGTGACTATCTGGGGCAAGAACATTCCAGGCAGGGGAAACAGCACACATACAACCTGGCCAAGGCTCTGTGGTGAGAACATGCCTGTTATGTTCAGGAGACATGGAGGAGGTCACGAAGGCTGGAGCAGAATGAGCCAGAGGGAGACTGGTACCGTGTGAGATTAGAGAGGTGGGAGGAGTGGCAGACCGGAGAGGTGCTTCTGCGTTACGGTGTGGCTTTTATTCTGAGTGAGCAGGGAGCTTTGGCAGGGCTTGAGTAGAGCAATAACACAATTTCACTCAGTATTTCAACAGGATCACTCTGGCTACACTAGGGGGACAAGGACAGAGCAGAGAGAACAGGAGTCTATTTTGATTGTAGGAGAGATGCAGATATAGTTTTCAGTTAGGTTTTTGCTTGGTTGGCAGTAAAATTAGTTTGTTTTCATTCTGTACACATCAGCTATATGGAAGAAAATATCTCAAGTGCATATACAATGTCAGTTTGATAATTGCCCATGTGTAAACCTTCAGAAGCTGACAGTGGTTTCTAGGTCCTGGAACAGCATGGGTGTGACTAGTCTTCCCTGAATACTTCTGATACTTTCTTTACTGACATCATTGTTCCTAAAGCCCCAAGGTTGGCCTAGAGGTTGGCCTCAATGGAAACTTTAAAATAGATTAGGCTTGCCCAGCCAGGCAGCCCCTACCCCCCCACCAGTCTGTTCCTCCTGTATTATTTTTCCCTCAAGTACTCTCTCCTGTCTTTTCCTTTTCATCTGGGGAGCAGGCCCTCCTGCCATAAATGCTTGCTAAAAACACAAAACAAATAAAGCATCTCCCAAACATCTATGGCTTTAGGAAGGATCTGATAAACTCATTCATACTGAGGTGCAAATGACTAATAAAGGCTTGTCATTGACAAAGTGTAATGTTTCTCTTTCCCCTACCTACTGTTTACAAATTTTTTTTTAGGCTCAAAATTAAAGTGTTTATTTCTTTTATTTATTTTTTTCTAGTGGTATTCAGTATCTTTGTTTTTTTTTTAAACTAAGGTATCATTGATATATAATCTTTGAAGGTTTCACATGAACAACATTGTGGTTTCAGCATCCACCCATATTATCAAGTCCCCCCACCCTCCATTGCAGTCATTGTCCATCACGGTAGTAAGATGCTATAGAGTCATTACATGTCTTCTCCTTACTGTACTGCCTTCCCGGTGACCTACCTGTCCATTTACATATTAACAAAGAAAAAAAGCCTAAGTCAAAGGACTGACTGTAGTTGTGATTTCTCATATTCTTGGGGAAGGTATTTAGAAGGAGTTGGGGGTACAGTGGGGAGGGGCATTCTTGGTGTGCACCTAAAATAATAAAGTGTGGAGTTATTCCACCTTCTCTAGGGTTGGCTATATATACTTTCATGCAAGCCAGGTGTACTTGCTATCCAGCCCTGGCATCCCACGCCACTCAGGATTGCACTGCACTTCCAAGGTTTTCTGGATGTAGTTTCCATTTGAGAGCACAGTGGGTGGAACTAATTCTTTCTAAGGAGATAAGTCAAATACTGTCCCTGAGAGTGCAAGTGGTATGAGCCCACAGCTAGACTTACATGGTATTCTGAAGCCTGGATACTCCCAGATACACCTGACCTAATTTCTTCAGAGGTGGCCGAAAAGCATGGTGTTTAGGACTCAACTGTTACTGGATTCAAATCCCAGCTCTGCCACTTGCCAGTTGTGGTCTTCAAAGATAGCAAGTGACTTATTATTTCTGTGCGTGTTAGTTTCTTCATTGGTAGAATGGGAATGATAATTGCACCTATCTTGTTGGGTTTTCTCTGAGGTTCAAATGTGATAATCTATGCAGTTAAATCTTAGCACCTGGAACACAGTAGAATGCCATAACCATTACTATGTTTATCATTGTTTTCACAATTATGATTTTTGTCACCCAGAGCCATTGTTTGGCTGGCGGGCTACAATGCCACAACCCAGGAGATCGCAAGGCCTTCTGAGCTTTTGGCAGGAGTTAAAGCGTACATCAGCTTCATCCAGTCGCTGGGCCAGTGTTTGGGTGTGGATGTTTCCCGAGTCATTCGTAATGCCCTCCTGCAGCAGACACAGCCCCTGGACTCGTGTGGGGAACAGACTATCACCACTCTCTACACAAATTGGTCAGTGCTGCTTATCTTCTTCCTCAGCCTTGCCTGTTGGTTAGCACTTTTTCTTTTACACGATGGGACTTTTGGTGGCATTTTAGTTCCCAGAGTCATAGAGCCCCAAACTGAGGCTTGTCTCTGCTTGAGGACTGGAGCAGTAAGCTGAGGCAGACCCAGAACCCCTTCTGTTCATCATGAGGTTTCTTTCTAACCTTCCATGTAATGTCCATCAGCCTGCTCTTTACCAATTTTATCTTTTTCCCCTTAATCTTCAGTTCTTAACTTTCCTTTTGTGGATTCTTACTGTGTTAATTTCAAGTGATCTCTCTTCCTCTTTCTCAAGTTCTCCTGTTTCTCTGTTCATCCAGCTTCTCTCTCTGAAGACCATTCCATCTGACACTATCTCTCCAGAACATTATCTCCTCACTACCCCTTGACACAACCACATTGAGTCTAGTGGATTATTCTTAGTAGGGAAGGGGACCATCTCCCCAAAACCGGAGGAAGTAGGAATCAGCAGTATTTCTTTTGAACTTTGAAGGATGGAAAGAAGCTGGATTCCTACCTCCCCAAGACACTGGGTGGTGCTCTTAATCCAATATCAGTTTAGCAGGAGATAGGCTGCAAAGAACCCCTTCTCGTTCTGTGAAGGGGAAAAGGCTGAGAAGAGGTTTGCAAATGCCAGCAGGGGCCCAGCAGGTAAGGCAATGGGTGTTGTGGGCTGGGTAGGAATTTTGAGTATCTGGAGAGGGCATGCCCCTGTGATGGAGGCAGCCACCACTTATTTCCACCTGATTACTGACCCACTAAATTCTTATTTTTAGTGAGAAATCTCTGTTTCAAAATTTTGACAAGTAATCCAAATTAAAAGGAAAAAAAAAAAACCATGTCTGATGGCTGAGTTTGGCCCACCCATTTTAGCTTTTTGATTTCTGTAAGATCTAGGCCCCAAGCTCAGCCTGGGTGAGTGGAGTGAGCTGGCCAAACCCTTCTCTGATGACACTGGCTGGAGGCTGCGAAGTCAGCTTGCTCAGAGGTCATGAGGGAATATTTGGAGACTGGAAGACCAGTGTTTACAGGGCTCCTCTCTGCCCAGTGGGTTTGACTTGAGACCCACTTCCAGGGTCCTAGGTCCTCAGTCCAGTATTCTCCTTAGAGAAGCTGAGGCTAAGTTTATTTCAGAGGACCCCAACTAGTAGGCGTTTTTTTTCTAGCCAGCTTGGGGGCTTGTCTTACCTGACAAAGAAAGGCCCAGGGTGAAGGCAGAGCAGTAGCTGGGAAGGAGCAGGGGCTGAGGGAGGGAAGTGCATGCTTTTACACTGGACAGCCCAGTGAAATACCCTGCAGTTTTAGGCCAAGTAGAATTACACTACTGCCAGTTTTTTTTTTTTTTTTGAGCCAACAGCTTGGGGTGTTAGAGTGCTGTCCTTTCTTTGAGTCTCTTCTGCCCACCCCAGCCTTTGGCAGAGTTTCTCTTCCTGAGCCCATTGGTAGTGGCAGGAGCAATGGTAGGGAGGAGAGATAGAGCACTAATATTCTCTGCTTTCTTGGCCAACCCTGTAGGTACCTAGAAAGTCTGCTTAGACAGGCAAGCAGTGGGACCATCGTCCTTTCCCCAGCCATGCAGGCCTTCATCAGCCTCCCCAGAGACGGGGAGCAGAACTTCAGCGCAGAGGAGTTCTCTGACATCTCTGGTGAGCCCAGGGCCTGGTCTCCTTGTTAAGGAGCTAAGCCTTTTCCCTCAGCCTGAGGACGGCAAGTAAATCCTCCTACCTTCCCAGAGGCTCATTCTGTATTCTTCTCAGCATCTCTGCTAGATTCCATTGTAGGGACAGTAAAAAGAGTCCAAGTGAGACCCAAAATTGACAAGTGGCCTGGAGTTGAAGGTAGAGTAGGAAAATGAGGAGGTTAAGAGTTAGGCAAGGCTGTTAGTCACTGAAGGGGTACATTCTTTGAAGGGTAGTAAACAGTTATTACCTATTTCCACAAAGAATAAAGAGTAAGCCATGTAATGAAGGGTAAAGGATAAATGTAAGGAGGACATTCTGATATTTGGGATTATTAAACAGTGACCTGATATTTAATAATGATGATCAAACAGTAGATGACAATTACTGTGGGCTAAGTTCTAAGCTTTCATGTGTATTAACTCACAACAACAACTATCCTCACATAGAGCCTTGTGGTAGATACTCTTATTACCCCCATTGTGCAGATGAGGACATTGAACTGCAGACAGGTTAAGGAGCTTGCCCATGGCCACACATTCATAAATGGTAGAACTGGAATTTCAGCTCAAGGCAGTCAGATTCTGGAACCTAGGTGCTTAAGCACCCTGTAATGCTGCTTTCCAGTATAGAAGTGCTTTTGTGTCTCGAAGCAGTAAGGAGTGTGTTGTGAATGAATTGAGAAGTGTTCTCTTTTTAAAGAGAGCTGAAGCCACAGAGATCCTTTTTAATAGATTTGTGTTTCTGACTGACTGACTAATGAACTATTGTACTGCTGCCTTCTTCCTCTCACCTCCATGTAAATCATGGATCCTGCATGGTATCTGGGACAGGTAGGAGATGTTTCATTGACTCTGCCCTCTCTGTTTTTCCCCTTCCTTTGGGCATGGTGGGAGTAGGGTGATAGGAAAGTCAGAGTACACAGTTCCGTTTTCCAGCTCTGCCTCCTTCTTAGTCTCTTTGAGACTCCATCAGTAAGCTGGCCCTACTCTTACCTGCTGGAGGCTTCAGAGGTCTCCTTCTCATCAGCTCCACCCACAAACTGTAGGCAGCATCTAAATTCAGCTTTAAGTCTTGCTGACAACTGATGAACAGCAGGAGGTAATGCTGATTCCCCCTTCTTCCACCCCCACCCCAATTTTCCTGGGTTACCATGGTAATGGGGCAATGCTACTGTAAAAATAGGTAGATGGAAAAAGAAGGCTGCCCGTGGGTTACTAGTCTGGAATAGAGAAGCCCAGAGTAAGGAGATCTGGCAGATCCAAACCAGTAGATCAGTGTGGCTTCTCTCCAGAGAAGGCAATTCAGCCCCTCTTTTCCTCTGTCAGCCATTTTAGCAGGATAGGAAATCCTCTTCTACTTCTCAGCTCAATTCTTCCTATTGTAAATAGGTGACTCTAAAAATGCCTAGTATTTACTCTGGACAAGTCTCTGTGTCGGTAGCTGTGACCATTTCTACTTCCCCTGTCACTGATGGAGGTGGAGATCAACTGGTTCTGTCTTCAAAAGACTTGAGTGTGGAGCTTTGATTTCCTTTTCCTTCTGAACGCTTGTTAAACTTGCCTTTCTGCTGTTGGTCTCTTGTTGTTTCTTCTTGTCCTTTATGGTTTTGTCTGCTGGGATGGCCCATAGCCGAAGATCATTGCTAGAGCTCCTTCCTGTCTGAATTTGTCACTTGTGCTTCTAACATGGGATTTCTCCCAGGCAGGTTTTATTTAATTCACCAAGTGCCAGAAGCAGGGTGGGTAGAGAGGTATGAGGCATTGGGGCAGACTAGAGGGAAGAGGGACTTAGAGGAAAAAATGACTAGGACTCTGGGGATGTGTGTTCATTATGAAAAAAGAAAAGGTAGCTCTGGGAGAGGAAAATCTGGGCAGTGAGGCATAAAGTAAGGGAAACAGAGGGAGGAACGTAGAAACAGCCAGACCTTAGATAAGGAATGAGTTGTGGTTTCTGCTGGGACCCAGTAAGGGCAGTAGGGCATTGAGTTAGGTTTCTGAAACTAGCCCTTGGCTTGACTAAGGGATCTTGGACAAGCACTTAACCCCCATGTCTGTGAAACCAGGATGATGTTAATAATTATTGTGATAATCCCTTATTCATATATATCCTTATAGTTTCCTACAGTTTTTATAATGTAGTATTTTATTACTTTCATAACAGCTCTATGAGGTATTCAGGGCAGATTTCTTCATTTTACAGAGAAGTAAACTGAGGCTCAGAGAGGTTCAGTGACTTGTTTAAGGTTTTATATCTAATAAACCTAATCCAGAAAGAGTAAAACCTACGCACCACATAAAGGGACTTGGGAAAATATAGATTCTTATAAGAATGTAAAGTAAATAGTTATCATTTGTGGTAGGTCTGGGCATAAATACCAGAGGGAAGAAGGTAAGTTGTCCCTTGGGCAGGCCAGATCTGTCACCTAAATGTAGGATTTCAGGCCACTTTCGCTCCCTGACTTTCCACTTCCTTTCCCTGCTAAAGAAACATCTCAAATGTGCAGATTACCCTTTGTTTGCTGTGCTGATGCTCCAGTGCCCCCTGAGTCCCACCTGGTACCTCTGTAACTCTATTTCAGAGATGCGGGCCTTGGCTGAACTCTTGGGCCCCTATGGCATGAAGTTCCTGAGTGAAAATCTGATGTGGCATGTGACCTCTCAGATCATGGAGCTGAAGGTACTGGAAGCCAGCCCTGGGAAAAGGGCCCAGCCCTGGGCGAGGTAACGTAGGAGTAGAAGACTAGGAAGGATGTACCTGGGTCGTATCTTTTCCTGCTGAATGTCTCTGTGTCCCGGCTGCAGAAACTGGTGGTGGAAAACATGGATGTACTTGTTCAGATCAGATCCAACTTCAGCAAGGTGGACTTGATGGCTTCTCTGCTGCCCCAGCTGATGGGTGAGCACCTCCCGTAAAAGGAGAAGGCATTGTGGGAAAAGCATTGTGGGTGACAAGGGCTTTGGTGGGCTGGTGGCTAGGCCGCCATTGCTATTCTCATAAGTGCTCTTCACTAACACTCTGTTTTCTTTTTTTTCTTAGGAGCTGACAATGTCCTGAAGCGCATGACCATCATTGGAGTTATCCTCAGTTTTAGGGCCATGGCCCAAGAAGGACTTCGGGAGGTGATTTGGGGGGTGGGGGCTGCCACAGAATCACAGACACCTCTGTGGGTTGGGTTTGTATGAGAAATTGGGGAAATGTTTGGTGAGCATCAAGGAGAAAGGAGTTTAATTTGGTAGAGGTCCTGGAAGATCTCTGGGGCTAGATGAGCTGAGGAAACATAGAGGTGTGAGCAGAGAGATAGCATGGGAAGCTGGCTGGTTCTTGTCTAAGCTGAGGCCCTTTTTATTTTTGAGGCCACCTATTTTTGAAAGCACTGGCCACTGCCATCATGTGGACTCATTTATCTTCTCTTCCCTCCAGGTTTTCTCCTCCCACTGCCCATTTCTCATGGGTCCCATTGAGTGCCTCAAGGAGTTTGTCACACCAGACACAGACATCAAGGTATGAGGGACTGCAAAGTGGAAACGAAAAGGAGATTTCTGTTGTTGAAAAGATGTAGCTAAGATCTTATAAGGGAGAGAGGCTCCTGAAGAATACTGTGGGGAGAAGAGCCAGGATTTAAATAGGAAAACATTGGGGAAGATTTTGGGGAGAGAGGAGCTTTGCTCAGACAGATATTCTTGGAGACCAAGGACAGAGCTGGGGAGGCCCTGTGGGGGTTGGGAGAGATGGGTAAGATCTAGGAGAACATCTGTTGGTTTCCGCCTAAAATGTGCAAATTAGATACTGAACTATGTGCAAACAAGTCCTCTCTTCAGTTAGGAGCTTAGTTAGGAGTTTTTGTAAAAAGATTTGTTCCTTCCATGTCCACTCACCTGGGGGCCCTCAGAGTTTCCTTCCTTTTTCTGGTCTTTTCTTCCTCCTTGTTCTGAAACCTGGTTCCTCTATATCTGTGTCACCTGGCTCAGGCCCCCATTTACTCCAGAGATGGAGAAAGGGAGCAGGGCCTTCTGCAGGCACCCCAAGTTAAACATCCATTTCTCTGCCCCTCCTCCACCTCTGTAGCTTCTTCCTGTCTTCTGAATCACCTGGAACAAACAAGTATGTTATGCAGAAAATACAGCCAAAGGCTGGGAACACAAGGGCCTTCAAACACATAGGGTAGGCTCTTTTCTTATTCATTCCTGTAACCAAGAGAGACCTGTGATAAGAGGCAACAGGTTAGCAGGAAGAATTAAAGTTAAATGTTAAGAAAAACTTCTTTACCTTGAGATCAAAAGACCTGTGATATTTCCCCCTCTGTGCCTGAAATTGCATGAGGCTCAGATGGTCATGGGGGCTGCGAGGGGATGATGTTTCACTGGGAGGCTGCTCCTCTTGAGTAGCCTCTGACTTTACAGTTGAGCCTGGGTTTCTGGCAGCTGCGGATGCTGGGGCTGAATGCCCTAGCCTGTCAGGAGCTTGTTTAGCTGATATTGCTTGGGCAGCTCTGAGCTTTAGGCTCTGCCTGTCTGTGAAAATAAGCTGGTGAGGGCAGAGAAACAGGGATGGCCTGTCCATCAGAGATTCTGTTACTGCCTCAGAGGGGTGAGAAGATTAGGAGAAGAGAAAGTAAGACCCTTTCAGTCATCCCTTTCTTCCCTCAGAAAACCACAGTTCAGGGACCAGTTCCCTGATCTCCTGGGCCATGCTTACCATGAGCAGGGTCATTTAGTTAGTGGAAAATTTAAATAAAGGGCAGAGGAGAACATGCAGCTAAGGTTTACCTTCTGTGTGAAGTACCGTAGGCAAAGTGTGTAATCTATTGGGATATCTCTGGGGTTCTTTGCATAAATACTCCACATAGCTGTCTACTCTTGAAACAACTATCCTTTTTCTTCCAAAACATTTTCGAGTCTTTTTTTTTTCTTTTAACTTCGAGAGGGGTCTAAGTGCTTGGTGTAGCAGTCGAAGTTTGGGACTACATCCTGCTAACCTGCTTTTAAGTACAATGAGGGATTTGGGTATCAGTCATATTTTAATTGAATGCCGTCCATGGGTTTAGGAATGTGTTAAAAGCTGGAAAGGATAAAAAGAAATGCAGAGTTTCTGGATTTGAGATAAAGAAAGGGGAGAAAATTTATGTTTATTAGTCTATGAGTGACTCTTTAGTCCCTAGGGTAGATGCTTTACACATGTGGTCCAATTTAATCATCACAACTCTGTGAGGTAAGGATTATTATCCCAGTTTTACATATAAGAACATTGAAGCTCTAAAAGGTTAAGTAACTTTTAGCCAGGGTCACACATTTAGTGAGTGGTGCTGCTAGAACTTGAACCCAAATCTCACTCTAAAGCCTTTTTCTCCTCTGACTATGGTGTGAGGTTTTAAAGAATTATAATCTCGTTGGTGGGATAAGCCATATGTCTCACCTCCTATCTGAAAAGGTAACTCATAATACTAGGTGCTGTGTGTGATCAGTGCCAAGTTGGTAGTACCAGTTTAAGGAGGGGGAGATGGGTTTGGACTGAAGTAATCAGGGAGGGCTCCACAGAGAATATGGGATTTGAGTTAAGCCTCAAGGGGCAGATGTCAATTAGATATAAGTGGAGCACAAGAATGGACACTCTAGAAAGAAGGAAGCACATGAACCAAAGTATACAAGTCAGGAAGTAAGTTGTATTTTGGACACCGTGACTAAATTAAGCTGGCTGCATTGACTGTAAGAAGCATTTGGGAAAAAAAGGTTGAAAAAGCAAATTTGTACTGTGGAGCATCTGAATGCCATGCTAATGCATTTTGGGCTTTTCCCCTGTAGGTTAGGGACAGCTGTGAAAGGAATACCTAGAAAAGAGGATAGTCCACCTATCCTCTTAAAAAGTTTAAAAATCTGTGATCCAGGAATCCTGACTACCTGTAGTTTCGGCCAGGTACTTGTCCCCTGGGAATCCTTTCCAGCATGTTTTCTTCTCTATCAGGTGACCCTGAGTGTCTTTGAGCTGGCATCTGCTGCAGGAGTGGGCTGTGACATTGACCCAGCCCTGGTGGCTGCCATTGCCAATCTGAAAGCTGGTAAAACTGGGGAAATGGAAAAAGGGGGCTTGAACTATAATTTTGGGTAGAAAAATGTCAATGTCAAAGAAGGCTTTATTTGAGATTGTGAATTCAGAGGTTATAACCTGGGAGCTAAGGAGAGACTAAAAGTCCCTAACCCCCACAAAATATATATGTAGATAATTTAGATTCTTGGACAGGTTCCAACCAGTTGACCTGTCAATCGGCTAGAAAGTAGTAAGTGAGAATCTGTTTGATGGTCAGCAAGTGCTCAAAGGAGCTTGCAGTTTGGTTGGGGAAATAAGGTTAATGCAAATGAAACAATGAGAGAACAATACACAGTAGTATATGATGTCATGCCAGGTTGTGTGGTATAGCATCTAGGTTCCCCAGGGTGATCGTGTGCTCTTCCCCACCTTGTAATCATCTTGACACTATTCACTTCTTCCCCCAGTCTCACACATGTCTCTCATATGGAAACACTGCACATTTCCTCTGATTAGCATATTCATACTTGTACACGCTCAGAACAGAAGGGGGGCTGGTATTAAGCCCTTTCAAAATTGCCAGACTGGCTCTTCCTCTGCTCTCTTGGTTTTGGTGAGGCTCTTTCCTCTCCCTCCCGCCTCTTCACCCCATCACACAGAGTGCTGTCAGACTGCCTGTCAGCAGAGCCCTTCGCACAGAGCTCTGCTTCATTCATCAGTGGCCTCCAGGACTTGGCCGTCACTGTAAGTGGAGGCTAGTCCTGTCCCTTTCAGCAATAAGGACTTGCCTATAGTATTTTAGAGAGTGTTTTCATAGATATGTCTTATCCTCACAGTGATTTGGTGATGTAGGCCCCCTGTAAAAGATAATTTGTGTTTACTGACCTTACTTTTCCTCTTTTCCTTTTTCCTTCTTACCAGATACTTCATCTCCTGAGGAAGAATATAAGGTCGCCTGCCTGCTCTTGATCTTTCTTGCTGTTTCCCTCCCACTCCTTGCCACTGACCCTTCTTCATTCTATAGCATTGAGAAGGATGGTAAGTAAGGAGCAGGTTTGAGGCACCAGTGCTATTTAGGTTGGTGTCCTGGGGTAGGGAGATGAGATGGAGACCTTTTTCTGGAAAGTAGACTTCTGATTCATGTGTAAAGTTCTGTTTCTAAAGCACTTGAGAATGACCTATCCATAACACTCAGTGCCAGTCAGATTTCATGGGAATATCTTTCTCCTAACCCCCAAATGCCTTTTAGTCCTTTTAGTGTTATACAGGGGTGGCCCAGCCTGGAAAAATGAGAAATTACCAGAGGGGGTCAGCCTGGGTGTGGCTCACTTCATTGTGTCCTTTTGTTTTTCTCCTCTGTCATTACTAATCTAGGTTACAACAATAACATTCACTGCTTGACCAAGGCCATCATCCAGGTGTCTGCTGCCCTCTTTACACTCTACAACAAGAACATAGAAACTCATCTCAAGGAATTTTTGGTGGTGAGTGGGTCCAGTCTATAAGGAACGGAAGATTGCAAAGTCTAGCAGAATTGGTTTGACTTAAACCCACAGACAGGTATTATTAAGCAGGCTTTGGTGTCTAACCTCCTTTATTCAATAAGCAGTGAGAGGCCACTTTGTGAAGTGCAAGAATTTCTTCTAAATTCCCTAACAGCTGTTGTTTTAGCCTCTGCCCAAATACTTGGAAAGAGCACTGGACTAAGAGTCAGCAGATCTGAGTTCTAGTTCTGGATCTGCCCTAAGAAGTTGTGTGGGCTCTGAAGAGCCAAACTTCTAGGGCCTCAATCTTTCCATTTATTAAATAGGGTGATTAAGCTGAATCTATAGCTCAGTACCTTGGTGTGGATTAGAATATCCCGAGGAGCTTGTGAAAATACAGATTCCTGATCCTTACACCAACTGAACTAGAATATCCTAGGGGGGGTCTAGGTCTCTGTTTTTAATAAGGTCTCCAGGAGAGCTGATGCACAATGAAGTGGGAGAGACACTGAATTTTATAATTTATAAAGTCATTTCCAACTCTAATACTGACAAAAAGTCAAACTTTTTTCAAATTCTCAAACTTCAGTGTAAATCAGAATCACCTAGAGAATTTCTGATTGAGTAGATTTGAGGTGGGGGGGCTAAAGAATTTGCATATCCAGCATGTTCCCAGGTGATGATGATGATGTTCATCCTGGGGTCTCATTCTGAGAACCACTGGTCTAGATATCTAGGGACGAGTGCTTCCAACCAGGCAGCGGATTCTACTGTAGGTTATTTTCAGTTTGTTTGAAAAAAATTGTTTAAAAAATTTCAGCCAAAGTTTGACTCCCTGTAACTATCACCATTGATCTTAGTTTTGCCTCTGGAAAAACACAGAATAAGTAATCTCTTTCCATTGTTGAAAGAGGCCCCAGAGTTTTCCATTCTAAATTCTCCTTGGAGGAATCCTGTCCATACACTTCTGATACATGGTCCATTAGCCACTGCCTGCTTGAGCATTGTCAGTAACAGGGAGCTTATTCCTTTGCAAAGCATGGTTCTAATTTAAGAACTACAGCCTCATCTGTCTCCTTTTAGGAGAAAACATAGTAGATCATATTATCTTGGAAATCATACCATTGCCCTGAAAAATACAAATTGGGGACTTGTAAGCTTAGTTAGAGGGTCCCTATTTAAAGTGGGACAACCAGCTAGACAGAATGGGCTTTGAGCATCTTAGACATGAAGAGGTTTCACACCAGATCTCTAAGACCTGGTGGGAAGGGAATTTTTCCCCTCCTTTTCCCTTTTCCCTTCTTTGTTTGCTAAACCTGAGCCTGGATACAGTTAATCACGTTTCTTCCTCCCTGTTTGATCTGGGAGCCTTGAGGTGAATGGGGAGGACAACCATTTGAGAGTTGACAGGTAGAGAATATCAAGAGTGCTGTCCCACTGTCTGAATCACAGGCCCAGCTCTGTTTCTGGTCTGGTGGGGAGTCAGCTGTAAACTGCCTGGGGACAGTGGTGTTGAGAGACTGCGTAGGAAAAGAGGTTAATCTCCTGGCATACAGTATTACCTGCCCTTTTTCTAGGTCCTTTCCTCTCCCCCAGCACCCCTGGCAACCTGCAGTTGTCTGCACTGTCTGGTTTACAGGCACTGTGCATCTCGGAAACCTGGGGGATTTGCCACTTTTCCACCCTGAGTCTCCAGGAGCATCTCAGCACTTCTTAACTCTTCTTGATCTTGTCCGAACTTCCTGTAGCCTGGGGCTGTCCTGTTCTGACCTCCATAAAAATCTGCTTCCTAACAAATCAAATTCTTCCCTTACAGGTGGCCTCTGTCAGCCTTTTGCAGCTGGGCCAGGAGACTGACAAGCTTAAAACCAGAAATCGGGAATCCATTTCTCTGCTCATGCGCTTGGTATGTGCCTGGTTTAAGATGATTTGGGGAAAGGGGGGAGGGGCCAGAGGGGGAATCCTCTTAGGGTCTTTGGGTCCCTGCCATTGTCATCACCCAATAGCATGAACTAAGAACTGAATTCTGCCTGACCCTCTGGGTCTAGTCCTCACATTCTGGTTATTTGTCCTGTATTCCCAAGGTGGGGTCTTTAAGGACTTCTCTGCAGGACACAGCCTTCCTTGCCCCTAGCTGACTGGGCTCAGTGTTCTTGTTTGACCTGGTGGGGCAGTCTGCCCCTTATCTGTAACTACCTGCCCAGTACACATTTGGTGTTACCGGACCACTTTCTACTACTAGATTTCTTGTCCCTAAGGACATTACGAAGAGGGTGCTGAAAAGCACAGAGCAGAACTGCGGGAGGGAGGTGAGGGCTCAGAGGAGGAAAGGGATTTCAGCTGAAAAGCTGTAAGGCAGGGAGCCAGGTGGGCCATGAATCAGGCAGCTCCTGCTCTCTCTTCTTTCTTTCCATGCTCTGGGCTTTCCCTCCTTTGGCAGAAAGTTCTGGGAACTCTGACTCAGTTAACTTAAAAAAAATTCTTTCCTCATGACCCTGTTTCCCTCTTCACCACGTTTACTCTTTTTCTCTAAAAGTCTGACTCTCCAAGTTAGTCCTGCACTTCGATGTAGTCAGGAGTGGGTCCTGCCCTGGTCTCCATGTCTAAGAGGCCTTCTTACCTAAGGGGAGGAGATGTGCCCACCTGGAGCCTGTGCTGCCCCTCAGAGTCCACACTAAGGATGTCTGGGGCCTCAGAACCCTCTGCTAAGTAGGTCCGGCCTATTCGTAGGCTGCTGTGGAGCATCATCCCCAAGTCCATCCTCCTGAGGCAGCCTGCTGCTGGCGGATATACCTCTAGTGCCCAAGGAATGTATGGCTGGAGTTCAGATAGGAAGTTTATGTGTATATCCAAGATTGTTAGACTGGGATGGTTCTCTCCAATATGTTTTGGTGCAGAACTAACTCTACGGAGCTTAAGAATTCTTAATTCAAACCTGGCCTTGCATCAAATTCTACAGGTATAGTATGAAGGTTGAAAGATGAACACAGTAGTTTGATTTATTTAGTCATATGGTATGTGGGCTTCCATTTGTACCCTTGGCCAGCCCCGCAAATGTTTGGGGCAGGCTCCCTCTGGGTTTGAGCGGTGTCTGTGTCTCAGCTAGACACAGCTAGAAAAGGGCCTAGGTTAGGCTGATTAAGGATGAGGATGGAGAAGTGGAGAGACTGGACATGAGGTTGGCGATGGTGAGGGATGAGAAGGCAGAGGAGGCAGATGAGGGCAAATGCCAGTCACATGTTAGGTGTAGGGGCACAGTCTTTGGTGCAGCATGACCCTGGGCAAGTTAACTAACCTTCTGTGCCTCTGATTCTGTACCCTTGAAAGTGGGCAATAATCCTTAGGATTCATAAGGTAATATATGTGAAAGTGCCTAGTACATAACAGATGCTCAATAAATGTTAGTTCCCTCTGTCTGCTGGTCTTTTTAATTTTTGGATGGCTTAGGCATACCTCTTCATTCCCTTAGGGATCTTTTACTTCCCTAAGGTTGGAGGTGATTCTTTATTGCCATTCAGCCCTGCCTTCCGCTTCTGCTTTCATCCCCCCAGCCCCACCTCCACAGGTGGAAAGGTGTCTGTTCCTTGTGGCATTGCAGAGAAGCCTGCAGAGTGGCTGGAACAGAGCTACGGGACCAGGAGCTTTTTGTTGGATGGAGAGACTGAGGGACTAGCTGCTGCAAAACAATTTAAATGCAAATGTTTCCACAGAGAAACTGGAATGGCTGAAGGGGAAGGAGCTGTATTCTGAGGTCAGAGGCTACTCTTGTAGCCCCAAATCCTGGCCAGGTACTTCTCTCCCCAGGGTCTTTCTGTCTTGGCTGTCAAGCCTGGGCAGTGCCCACTGCTAGTGTTACCAGCCTGCTTGGGTTTGACAGGTGAAGATATGACTCATAGAATCATGGAATTCTGATGGCAGAACCAGACTAGATCCTGGCTGTTAGTCCTATCCTTATAATTCCTAGGTGTGGGAACTGAGGAGAGGGAGGGAACAGTGACGTTCAAGGGCTCCTCCAAATTGTAAGGGCAGATTTGACTTGTCTAGAACCCAACTTTTTTGGCTTTCCCTGTAGCACTGTTTCCACTACCATGATTTCCTCCAGGTCAGGGCCTTGTTATTTTCTGGTGCTTAATGGAGCAAAGAATAGGAAGTGTTAGGTCAGTGGATCCTTCTTAAAGCCATCACTCATTTCTCTGTACCTGAGGGTCATATCCTGGAAAAGAGATCTTATCTGTCTCCTGGCTTAAAGTTTGAAAGTCTTACCTAGCAAGGAATTCTTTCTGTTAGTCCGAAGTCAGAGCTGTTAAACCTAAGTCAGAGCTACAGTTTTACAGGCAGATTTCCTTTCCTTCAGCCTGCAATGTCTGCTCTTCTGAGGCTGTTGTGTGCATTTATTTGACAACAGCAGAATCTTACAAATTTTACAACTTGAAAGGACTTCAGAGAGAGAACATGTTAGAGTGGATATGGTAGGTTCTTTTTGAGTGAATTTTCAGAACTTGAAACAACAGACATATTGGGGAGGGTCCCTCTCTGTGAATTGCCAGAGGATATGGGACACTTCCCTCCAGTGTTTTTAGACCCACAACCTCTGGGCTGAGGAAAGTACTGAAGGAAATACGTGCTGTTCCTTCCTCAGGGATGAGACCCTCCAGCCTAATGCTAGGTTGTGCTGCTCTCTAATATGCCCTCCCGGGCCCCCTTATCCCAGCAATTTGATCTATCTTTCTGCTGGGCTGTGGGGGCTGCTGGGATTGCCACAGCACATAGGCTCCTAATTAAACTAATTAATCATGCCTGCTCCTCTATGCAGCATCCTGACTGTTCCCCAAGCACTGTACTGAGGGAGGGAGGAGGGTGAGGCCCAGCACACAGGACCCGTGTGGATTCCAGGCCCCTCTTTGTCGGCCTGCGGTGGCCATGGTTTCCTTCTGTGCAGAGCTCTGTTATTAGCACTTTTATCCATCCTTGCCTGCATCTGCGCTGCCCACTCACATACGGTTTAGCATCCAGACTAGAAGAGAATGGGACCTGCTCTGCTACTAGGGCAGTGATTCTTCCCTGCCTTCTGCTTCTGAGCCCCTCATGTAACCCTGAGGAAGGAGATGGGCATTTTTAATGGAGCTGAAGAGGCCGCATTGCTTTCCTAGAGCTAAACAGAGTGAGGGAGGAAGGGGGCCCGGTGATTTGGAACCCTGTTCACTTGTAACACTAAGGGCCTCAAAGGGCCCCGGGCACGGCCTGAAGAGGAAATGGTGTCACAGAGGTACGCCCTCCCCGAGGTTCTCATCTCTTGGCTGCTTCTCTTCCAGGTGGTGGAGGAGTCCTCCTTCCTGACTCTGGACATGTTGGAGTCCTGTTTCCCTTATGTCCTGCTTCGAAATGCCTATCGGGAGGTGTCCCGGGCCTTCCACCTGAACCGAGTGTCAAGCAGTACCCACTAAAAGGCCCTTTGGACTTCGCTAAACCTCATGCTATACTGGACCTGTGGCCATTGTCTCAGTGCGTGGGGATGGGGCGGGATCAGGAGCCAGAGCCGGCATTAAGAGCCAGTCAGGCATATGGAGGAACAGTCCAGGGTTGGGAAATCATAGAGAAGTGGGGCAGGCTGGGGGGATGGAGGACAGTTTTTGGGAAAAGTTTATGGGGTTGGGGTTACATGTGTGAATTTTTACAATGAAGAAAACGAGTGCCATACAAATGTGCTTCCTATCTTCTGGTAACTAGAGCTAGAGCTCTGACTGGCATGGGTCTCTCGACCTTCATCACTATTCTAGAATAATGCTGGAGGGCAGAGATGATCAATCATCATATTAAACCATAATGAGCTTATAATCCTCCCACTGGAGCTGCTACTGTCTCCTGCACATTCATTAGGACGATTATCTCCTCTCTTCCTTTTCCAAATGTGTTCAGCAAACATTCAGCCTGCTCTTATTGCAAAGTGGTGGCAAAGGAACCCCATTTTTCCTTTGTGGGGGCTCTTTTAGGGGGTTTGGGTTTCTTACTCTGCCTCTAGCTCTACTGCCTATAGGGGCATGAGGAAATGCTCTTAGAGATTTTCACTGCCCCAGACCCCCTTCACCTGCTCTACCATGCCTTGTGGGTAGTAAGTTCTGTTTAACTTTAACCCCTTCTGCTGTTGCTTTCACATCACTACAGCCCAGAGCACAGAGGGTCAGTCTAGATAACTGTAGGTCACACAACCACTAACTGGAACGAAGTCCTGTGGGTTTCCTCCCAAGACCATTTGGGGTATTCTCCCTCTTATCTGGAGGGACTAATTGAACCCCAATCCCCTGTCTTCCTGGGTACAGATGTTGCTCCAGGCAGGGATTTCTCTCCTAGATCTTACATTTCATTGACCTCATTAGGTTATAGGGCCCTGAGAGTGGGTATACTTGAGGGAGTACAAGCTGTTTCAACTAAGCCCTTTTCTGCACTAATTAGAATTTCAAGTATCATAAAGCCTGGGGCATTCAAAGTGCACTAAACTAGGTTTAGGTAACTCCATGGCAGGAAACGGTGGTTCCCATCCATCACTTCTGTGTATCCATTGCCAGGAAGGACTGGAGCACAGGTCTGGAATGGTTGGAGTGGTCAAATACAAGTAACTAACTGATTGATTAGGGTCATGTTCCTACGTCCACAATAAGTGGGAAGTAATTTTGGCTTTCAGCAAAACCATCTTGCCTTTATGAAAGCTGTTTGATAGCTGCTTTTGGATTTTGTATGTGTGTTTGATCTTTATTTCTTGAGACCCAGGCTTAGTTGATAACTTTTTTTTTAACTTGGCACCAATAATCAGTCCACAAGTTTTTCTTAGCAACAATTGTCTGCTCTTCAGGGTAGAAGCAACAGAGAATTCCTTCTTCATGCAGCCTCTAGTTGTCCTTCCTTGCTAAGGAAAAGACATTACCTCTAAGGAGTGATTCAGGGTTGGGCCCACTGAGACTATGGGCAAAGCTGATGAGGAAGAGAAGGCTCAGAAGTACCTGAACAACTCTTACACCCTTGTATCTCTCTCTGTTGGGGCCTTCTTCTTGAAGAGATGGAGACACCTTTTCCATGTACATATAGAACCGCCTGAGAGGACCCTCCCAGAGGACAGCAAAACAAGTTACTGCAGAGGAATAGAGGGTAGACATAATACCTTTTTAATTGAAAAATTTGAGACAGTTATTCCACATACACTTGTAAGAAATAATATACAGAGATCCTGTGTATCTACCTGTTACCCTCAGTGCTAACATCCTGCAAAACTAGTACACTATCAGAACCAGGATAGTGACATTGATACATTCCATGGGGCCTATTCAGATTTTCCCAGGTTTACTTATACTTGTTTCTCTGTGTGTATGTGTTTAGTTCTGTACCATGTGTAGGTGCGTGCATCCGCTGCCACAGTCAAGAACAGATCCCTTACCACCAGGATCCTTCATGTTGCCCTTGTATAACCACACCCACTTTCCTTCTGCAACTCCCTGCCTTTTCCCTAACCCTTGGCAACATAAATCTTTTCTTTTCTAAAATTTTGTCATTTGACACAATATCTTTTTATAAACACATAATGGCACACACATTTCTCTACCCTTTTTTAAAATACTTTTGCATTGTTATGACAAGCCTGCAAGGTAGTCAGGGAAGGCTTTCCTATTTCAGGCCAGCAAACAGATTTAGAGATATTAAATGGCTTACTGAAGGTCACATGTTTAACAGTTAATAGAACCAAGTCTGATACCCAGTCCTATACCTTTTCTACCTGAGCAGACTGCCTCTTCATCTAGGAAGACTTAGTTTTTAGAATCTGGAGAGTTAAGAATGAGCAAATAGGAGATGAGGACATGATGGCCTTTTACTGCCTGAATGGTGAACACCTAGAGGTGAAGGGGCAGATGAGGTAACAGGACCGACCTATCAGCACTTACGCAGTTTGCTTGCTTGACCCCAAGTGTCCCTGACCCCTCAGAGCTTGGGACACAATCAACTATGAACTGCTTTCGCAATCAGATCCCGGGCTCACTTTATTCCCTCCTGAGAGGAACTGATGAGAGAGTATCAGGGAGAAACTCTGACCCTGGTTGTTTTGTCTTGCCGGTAGAGTAGCTGGTAGCCTCAGCATTCTCATTAGTGCAGTGTTTTCATTAACATCTCCATTAACTTGTTTGCTGCGAAGAGATGGAATCATCCCTCCCACCAAGCCTGGGGTGGAGATGCTTGCAGAGGAGCTCCCTTTCCTCTGGGTGGTATAAACAGTGCCTTCCCCACTGGTGCTCAGGCCATGTGGCAGGGGAGGGCAGCCTCCAAGTGCTGTGGGGCTGGGCGGGGCTGAGGGCATCGACCCTTTGAGCACTGGAACCTAGGAGGGAAACGGGTCCCAGCTAGGAATAAGGCTTCCTTAACCTTAGGTCCTCATGCCCTACATGAGTTCTTCTCCAACAAAGTTTGACTTTGGGAAGAAGCAGGCATGTGATTGAAATGCACTCAGGAGGTTGGGGGAAGAGTGTTCTTCCAGTCCTCCTCCCTACAGGGCCTCCGGCTCCTCCTAAGTACCTGTCATCAAAAGAGATGAAGATGAATCTCCCCTCAGCCCCCACACCTCAGGGAGTTGTCAGGTACTCTCCCTCCCACCTGAATAGGAAGCAGGAGCAGCAGGCCAGGCTGCAGGTTGAGGAAATCAGAAGTTAACTTGAGCGGAGTTTGCAGCTCTGGAGAGATTGAGGAGCCGCTTTTTCTTGTCACTTTGGAAGGAGAGGATTGTGAGGCCGCCCCTTTAAATAGCATTCCCGTAGGAGGCAGATCACATCCATCCGTCACTGCTGCCAAAGCATCGTTTTTGGTCTCTATCAAACTCAAAGCTTGTCGGAAGAGATTGTAGATTCAGGGAGTGAGGAGGCAGGGTCTCCAGGGGCCAGGGGTAGTTTGGAAACTGAAAAGGAGAGGAGTGAGGTTGGGTAGAAGGAGCCTGGGGAAGATGGGGGACAGGGGACCAGAGGACAGGACAGGGAGAGAAGAATAGCCATTTTTTGAGGCTATGAATGGAGGAGATATATCGGGATTCTTATCTAGATAAGGCAGAGATGGGATTGGATTCCTGCAAGAAGAATGAGGTTGAGGTTACACACCAGAGCTGGTGACTAAAGAGAAAGAGAAGCACAGAATGGACAAGCACTGGAAAAAGGTTAAGGGGCTTGGCCTTGGCTTTGTAACTTACTCTCTGGGAGACCACATCATTTTTCTGGGCCGAGTCTTGCCATTTGTTAAATGAAGGGCATTAGATTAATTGGACTATCTTACACGAATAATTCTTTTTGGTGAATTTTCCTTTTTAAAAAATGGGTTAGGAGGTGGGGGCCCGGGAGAGCAGGGGTAGGATATGCCACTATGTTGATGAGAAATCTTCGGCCTCTTTTCCCTCTCTTCTAGCTGAAATACCTGTGAAATTTGGGGAGCTCCTTAGCTGTAATCCTAATTTCCTAATTAAAGCTCTTTAGCTCTAATGCTAATTTGCAATCCTTTTGTAGTTTCTAGCCCATTCTTTTCCAGTTTCTAAGGAAGATGATTGATTGCTCTCAAGTTTTGAGAACTGGATTGTGTAGGAGTCTGATGAAGGTCTCAGATGCAGCTATGTCTTTGCTGGGACTGTTCCTCTGTCGAGGAGGGGAAAGGGTCCTTAAACTGAAACTGAGTGGACAGGGAAGGGGAAGTCCCTGTATTCTCTCTGCTTTTTTTCCATCTCTGACTGCCATCTCCTGCCCCTGTACTTTCTGGGAGCTGGTTCTGCTCATACTTCTCTGTCCTGCCAGATCTGAAGGCCTGACCTAACCTAATTGCCTGAGGGCAAATCTTTTATGTTGGAAGGCTTCAGCCTGCCACTTCACTTCTGTTTTTTTTTTTCTTCCTCCATTGCCTGAGAAGCAGCGAGCCTCCACCTCATACTTAGAATGGAGTAAATACTTTCTCTGGATCAGTCCTCCTAACCTCCAGAGTTCCTGAAATAAAAACTCACAATCTGGGGTTCTGGATTAGTGGCCTGCTCTGGATTTAGCAGTTAGTGAATACTCTCCATTTTCTGTTTACATAGGATTTTTCCCACTGCCAAAGTCGGTGGTTATTAAGGAGGAGAACAATTTTAAGGAGTCCTAAGGTGGTTTCTGCCAGAGTCCCCGGTAGAACTCAGATGGAAGAGGCATTGCCCTGTTATAAGGTCTTGAGTTCCAGTTCCAGTTCATTCATTCTATAAATGTTTTAAGCAGCTAGGCTGCTTTTTTGTGCTGCCCCCATTAGCCAATAGCCATTTGATTGCTTTCACTGAAGACAGTGGAAATAAATAGGAATAGCTACAGGAAGGGTTGAGATGAGATACCAGGAATGATTTCTTGGCTTCTATGGAGATACACACACACACACCCCTATAAAAAAATATATTAATTCAGTCAGTCAGTTGGAGAAAATGTGGTGCTGCCCACTCTGGGGGATTCTCTCTGGAACGCTTTAAGCTTGGGAGAAACTCCCCCCGACCAAACCAAGGCATCAGGGGGAAGGCCACAGCAATGGGCCAGCAAGCTGGGAGGAACTAAGGAGAGGGGTGGAATACCATCGCAACTCAGAGCTGATACTGAACTTTTCCCTTCAAAGGCAGGCGCACAAGTGTGAGGGTCTGGAGCTAGGTTCTGAGGGTGGGTGGATACACTCAGCCCGAGTGCCCAGGGCCCCCAGGCAGAGATGTGGGCTCATCCCGTGACCTCTCTCACATGGGACGCACAAGCGGCTGGGCCCACATGGAGGTACACGAAACAACACGCACATACACAGAAACTCAAAGCACACACCAAAGGCACCCACACACAGCCGCCCACACTGAAGTCCTGCCCCGCCTGCGCCGCGCCCTGTATTCACGCACTTACAGCCCCCGCGCGGGGCCGCGCAGCCACTTGCACCGGGTGCCCGGGAGCGTGCGCTCGCCCTTGGGCGCTTCTGGTTGTGTGCGCCCCCGGCTTCCAGTCGTTCCTTTGGGAGGGGGAGGAGTGGCTGCGAGGGGTGAGAGACAAGCGCGCAGGCCGACGAGAAGGGAGGGAGCAGAGGGAGGGGAGCGCGGCCGGGGGAGGAGAGCGGGAAGGAGGCGGCTCTGGCAGCGCGCGGCGGCGGCGGCGGCGGCGGTAGCGGCGGTGGCGGCAGCGGCGGCGGCGGCGCGGAGAGCTTGGACTGGGAGCCCAGAGCTCGGCTGGACAGCAGAGAGGAGGAGCCGCAGGAACTGCAGCTCTGCCAGCTTGGGCCGAACCTAGAGACACTGGCCTGGCGGGTCCGCGCCAGCCGCAGGTGGGAAGGGACTTGGTTGGGGAATGAGGGTCTCCCCGCTTCGGGCTGAGGCTGAGTCGCGGTGCTGTCTCCTCTCTCTGTTTCTTAGACAGAGGCTGAGCATGGAGCTGTCCCCCTGCAGTCCTCCCGAGATGCTGGAACCGGATTGCCCGTCACCCCTGGAGCTGAAGTCAGCCCCCAGCAAGAAGATGTGGATTAAGCTTCGGTCTCTGTGAGTCCCAGGCCGGGCAGTGGGGGGAAGGGATCTTAGGGAGCTTGGAAGGGGGGAGGTTAGCTGGAGGCGGGTTAGTGGATTCTCCTGGGCACACATGTTGGCAGGTGTGAGGAAATAAGCTGTCCTGACACGCGTGGCCAGGACACATGTGCAAGGCATGTGCGGAACAAGCCGGCGTGTTGGAGTGGGTCTGGGAGTTGCACAGCTACCAAGGTGCCTGTGCTTGTGGACCCCCGGGGGTGACACACGCAGCACGGAGAGGCTGGCACAGTGCGTTGGGCTGCAGATGGGCAACATTTAGGAGGTGCCCGGCTGACTCACACGTATTTCATGTGCAGGGTTGTGCAGATGTGAGGCACATCACACATATGTGCATGAGTGTCTGTGGGACACAGAGATGTGTGTAGAGTGACTGCATACAGCTGCAGGTCTAGCTCATGGGGATACTTGTGCCAAGCTGTGGGTCATATGGTATCAGCTGAGATTGGTGGTTTCTGCCTCTTGCATCCTTCAGGGGATGGGGGTGGTGGAAGCCCCATACCTAAGCTGCTCATCTCTCTTGGGGCCTGGAAACTCCCTCTGCATATTAATGATGGGGGACCCATCTGGGATCTGGAGAAGAGGTGGAGTCCCCTCCTGGGATCTGGTGTGGTGGTAGCGGTGGAGCTTCTACGTGGGACCTGAGGAGGTGGTGGTGAATGTTGGTTGATTGTGAGGGGCAAGGTAACTGTCCAAGCCTTTTTGTTGCTAAAGGGTCTTCCAAGTATCTCCAAGCAGATTTAGGCATCTCTTCTTATTGTTGCAGGACTAGGGCATGTGGGGAGTGATAAACAGGGTAAGGAAGGACTCAGATGTCCCATATTCCAGTCACATGGGAAGAAAGGAACTTTTCTTCCTGCTCCTCGAGAAGGAGAGGATCGGGTCTTGGTCAAAGACAAGCCATGCACCATGTTTATCTCCCAGTCGGCTGCCATCAGGTAACCTCCACAGTCTGTTGAT